TACTGGTAATTTGTATTTTTGCTCTCTTTTTTTCCTGATTAGTCTGGCTAGAGGTGTATCAATTTTATGGATCTTTTCAAAGAAACAGCTTTTGGTTGTATTGATTTTCTCCATTGTTTTTCTGTATGTGACTTCACTGAGTTCTGCTCCAAACTATATTTCCTTTCTTTTGCTTACCTTAGGTTTAATTTAGTCTTCTTTTTTCTAGTGTCTTAAGGTAGAAGCTGAGGCCATTAATTTGATGTTGTTTATCTTTTCTAATATAGGTATTTAGTGCTACATATTTCCCCCTGCATATTGCTTTAGCAGTATTTGATGTGTTTTGTTTTCATTTTCATGTATTTCAAAATATTTTCTACTTTCACATTTGATTTTTTTTAACCTGTGGGTTATTTAGAAGTATGCCACTTAGCTCCCACATATTTAGAGATTTTCTGAGATGTTTCTGTTATTAATTTGTAATTTAATTTCATAGTGGTCAGCATCCTCCTCAATTTGCATTAGTCTGATGTTTTCCTCATGATTAAATTCAATTTATGCAATTTTGTTAGGGATATCACAGAAATGATGCTGTATTCTTCTTATTGCTTCCTATCACATGACACATACTTTCAATTTTTCCCATTACTGATTAATTCTGGATTTCTTCTTTTTGTGATTACACTGCACTGTTCTTTGCCAGCAGTGAGAAACTTGCCCCATACTCTTCTTGATATACTGTATTTACTGAATAGATCTATCCTCCATGCTAGGCTGCTCCTCTCCCATGAACACCCTCCTCACCCTGCCCTGGCTCTGATATCCCATGCTGGGCCACCCCTTCCCCCTGCATGGACACTCTCTTCACCTTGCTCAGGTTCTGACACCTCACACCAGTCCCCATGCACAGATCCCCTCTTCATCCAGCATGAGTACTCTCCTCACTGTAATTGGGCTCCAATACACCATGCCTAGCTGCCCCTCTGTAAGGATATTCTCTTCACCGTTCTTGGGCTCTGACTCCCCACACTAGGCTGTACCACCCCATTGTGGAAGCCCCTTCCATCCCACTTGAGTTCTCATTTTTCCGCTTTCCACAGGTTCCTCCTCCCTCCACTATGTTGGCCTCAGTTTACCCTGCCCACCTAATCATTTTAAGAAAAATTGTTGGGTGCTGGAAAGAGAAGAGAAGGGCAGAGAAAAAGAAAGTGCTGTGCTTTTAAAAAAGGTCTCTGGCTGCTCTAAGGAAAATAGACAATAGAAGGACGGGGCAGCAGGGAAACTAGTTAAGCTGCTTTTGCCGAGGCAAGAAATGACAGTAATTTGGACTGGATAGTAGTAGTGATATGGTGGAAAATGGTCAGATTCTGGATATATTCTAAAGGCAGAGTTGACGGTACTTTCCAATAGTTTGGATGTGAGGTGTGAGAGAAAAAGATGGGTCAGTGATATTCCTGGGCTCTTGGCCTAAGTGACTGGTGCTAGGTACCTAGTTAGGGCAGATAAGAGGTGGAAGTTGGGGGTGAAGGAATTATAAGTTTACTTTTGGACATCTGAAGTCTGAAAATGACTGTTAGGCAGTGGAGATGTTAAATTGGCAGTTGGATATTCCAGGTCAGAGCTCGAGGGAGAAGATGAGAGCCTGGAGATTAAATCTAGGGGTACTTCGTATTTAGATAATTTTTAAAGCTGTGAGATTGGTTGATTTCACTGAAAGAGTGAATATAGATGAAGAGAACATGTCTAAGGACATTTAGTTTTATTTTTTACTTAATTGATTAATTAATTATTTTTATTTTATAATATTAAGGGGGACCAACTGTTTTTGTTACATGGATACCTTTTATAATGCTTATGTCAGAGCTTTTAGCATGCCCATCACCTGAATAGTGAATAGTGTTCATTTACCTGACAGGTAAGTCTTTATCCCCCCCTCCTCCCCTCCTCCCCTTCTTGATTTCCAATGATCCTTATATCTCTTTGACATCTAATTATAAAGTTCAGAAAAAGGAGAGGTAAGATCCAGCAAAAACAACAAAGGAGGAAAATCTGGAGGGTGGAATATCAGAAGCCAGTGAAGAGAGTGGTTTAAGAAGAGTGGTACAATGCTGCTGACAGGCCAAGACGAGAGCATTCATTTTGGCAATGTGGGGGATCTTAAGTCAAAGGCAAATGTGAGATACCCTCTAAATGCAGCAAGTTAGTAAAACTACAGGAGTGGCCTGCCTGTGCCACGTTGGCACAGAAAATTGAGAAAGAGGGAGGAGAGAAGAGGAGGCTAGGGAAAAGGAAGAGATAAAGAGAGCCTTTTGGAGCTATAGTTTGCCTTACACCCCACTAATTACTCTATCTGAGGGCTGGGGGCTAGACACCTCAATGCTGGTGTTTGATTTTCCCAAGTGCCTTGGGCCTCTCTGACAGCCCTGCTGGTGGTGCTCTGAGCCAAGGGAACCACTTCACCTATTTCTCTGAGAAAGACACACTCATTCCACCAACCTAATTTTAAAAATCTTTCAGGGGCTCTTTTTTTTTTTTTTCGTTTGGCAAAGACAATGGAGCCATCTACTCAAATAGCGGTCAGCTACCTTTGGGGAATTCCTATACTTTATCCTTGTTTTGTTTTTGTGACTTTTCCAAAAAGTGCTTTGAGGATACATAGTAAAAATAAACTAGAAGTTTAACTATAAGTATTAACTAGAAGTAATAAAAACTAGAAGTAAATGACATTTTGTAGGTGACTTTCTCAATATACTGTCTAAGATCCATGTAGATATCCTGAGGTGCCTCACAGATGGGAATGCAAATCAGTGCTCCAGGGACCTAGAACCCTTATTGTCTAGGCTGGCTGAGTATAGCTTCCTGTCCATATTTTTGGAGAACCACCTTTATAGTCATCTCCAGCCGTGGTGGGACTAAGAAGAAACTGGGGGGAGCTTTACACCTGTGTAATCCCCCAAACATCCCCAGCAAACAAGCCGAAAGCAGTCCTCAAGACTGCCCTTTCCAACCAGAGTGCTACCCCTAAGCCTCTGTTATGGGCTAAATTGTGCCCGCCCCCCAAATTCATATGTTGAAGCCCTCACACCCAGTACCTCAGAATGTGACTATGTACGGAGATAGGGCCTTTAAAAGGCAATTAAAGTTAAATGATCTGGAAATGTTGGCAGCAGAAAGAAAAAAAAGGGTTAAACGAGTCTGTAAGGCTGGGCCCTAATCTAATAGGGCTGGTGTCTTTATAAGAAGAGACACCAGGGATGCAAGGACACAGAGGAAAGACCATGCGAGGACACACTGAGAAGGTCACCATTTGCAAGTCAAAAAGAGAGCCCTCAGGACAAACCAGACCTGCTGACACCTTGATCTTGGACGTCCAGGCTCCAGAACTGTGAAAATAAAATGTCGTTTAAGCCGCCAGTCTGTGGTATTTTGTTTTGGCAGCCCTTGCAAACAAATACAACCTCCCATAAGGAAAGGATGGTATGCCACTGCTGCCCCTGCATTTGTAACACGGATACAAGTGAGCAGCTCCTGTTCACAGTTCCTGACAAACGAGGAAACCAAATACATCCCCCACCTTCCCTTGGGAAGCATGTCTCTTTGAAAAGAATATTAAATGAGCCAGTTGCAGGAACTGTCATAAGGGAGAAGAGGCTAGCTCTAGAAAAAACTGGGGTTCCAGGCTTTGAGCAAATCTCACTTCTTTCTTCTAACTAGACATTTTTATTCTGGTGTGATTACATTAAATTTGATCTCCAAGTTGATCTTGAAGGAGAAAATTAATTTAAAAAAAGACAATATGGCAAATATTTGTGGAAAGGAAAAGGAGTGTTCATGAGAGTTGAATCTAGAACAAATGAATTGTGGACTGTTAGTCTGGTTGTCTTCTACAGAAGCCTTCTACGATCTTTGCTGCCCTAGTTCTTGACCTGAGATGCCTTCTTGTTCACTTCTCTGCCTCAATGAGTTTGGTGAACCTGTTGTCTCCCAGAGTCCCTATTGGTTGGGGGAAGGAAGGTTATTATTTGGGGGTACTTTACTCACCTGAAGGGCATAGGAAATGGAGGCAAGTTTAACTTCAATCCAATTGCACCTAATTTCCAAATTCTTGAAATAAAGGGCTCACGAGGGTGCTTGAACGGAAAATTGACTGAAGGAAATTTTTCTCTTTTCAGTTACGATCTTGTGTGCTGAAACAAAACTGCGTCCTTCAATCCATACTTACGTACATATTTTCTTGATGAACTGGAAAGAGTAGCTATAATACCCACTTTGTATAAATCTGTTTTTTTTTTTTTTAAAAAGGGGGGGGTATATGTGACCATGAGCTCCACGTTGTCAGGAATAGATCCCATGTAGGATGTAGGTTACAGATTAGTCTTAAGAGCACTGGACTGAGAGCAAGGGGATTTCCCTCCTAGTCCTCCTATCCTCGGGAGCTCAAACTAATCTTTTGTCAAATGCGTACTAGATTATGTCCACCGATTCTTTCATTCAAGAAATATCTTTTTGTTAAGCACGTTCAAGATGTTGCTCTTTCCAACTATACCATTCTAGAATTGCCAGTATTTCTGAGTAACTCTTCACGTGTTTAGTCCCGAGTTGAGCCGTGTGCACCCTATTTTAGTTTCTGCAGCCCCATCCTCCAGAAGCTCACAGGGTACGGGGAAGACATGTGTAATGCCCCTGAAGCAAGTACGAAATGGTGCAGGATAGCAGATGATCAAATGTTAAAACGTACTCAGGACCAAAACATCCTGCCTGGCCCGAAGCAGTTAGTAACGTGAAAAGACAAACGGAAGGACGCAGCTGTCCGTGCACCCGCCGCGAGCTGAGCGTAGAACCCCGGCGAGCTCTGGGGGGCGGGCCGAGGCGCGGAGACCCAGGGCCCGGCGAAGCGTGAGGGCGGGCGGGGCCCGGCGGTGCGAACATTCCCCCACCTCCCACCACGCCCCGCGGCGGTCTCTTTAAGAAGTGGAACTGCAAGCCGGGCAGGCTGGCGTTCACGTGACCGGGCGCCGCACGCTAGCTCGCGGAAGTCCTCCGCGAAAGGCGCTGGGACTCCTGGATGCCCTGCGGCACAGGCAGGCAGGCTCGGCTGAGCTGGCCCGCAGCCGGCCGCCGCGATGGTGCAGCTGTACAACCTGCACCCGTTTGGGTCGCAGCAGGTGGTGCCCTGCAAGCTGGAGCCCGAGCGGTTCTGCGGCGGGGGGCGCGACGCGCTGTTCGTGGCGGCGGGCTGCAAGGTGGAGGCGTTCGCCGTGGCGGGCCAGGAGCTGTGTCAGCCGCGGTGCGCCTTCTCCACGCTGGGCCGGGTGCTGCGCCTGGCCTACAGCGAGGCGGGTGAGTAGGCGGGAGGGCCAAGGGGCACTTTGCCGCGGCTTGGGGCCTCCTCCCTAGCGGACCGACTGTGCTGGCTGCCGCTTTAGGTGGGGAAGGGACTTTGTGCTTCCCGGAACTTGCCGAATGGTCTCGAATGGTCTCGCTGGGTCTGGCCGCTGATTACTTAACGGTGCACTGAGCTGTGCGGTTGTCCCGGGCAACCAAAGGTGTGAGCCACCTTCTGGTGGGGCGGGATGCTGACTGCTCCTTCTCATCTTGGTCCTTGCCAGAAAGGCCTGTGGTTGGGTTCCACTCATTCCAGACACTTAAACAAAAACCCAAACATAACTCTTTTAGTGTAGAAAATATCAAACACACGTAAAAGTGGAAGTAGGGAAAATAGTACTGTATCCTGAATCCCAAGCTACTCGCAGCTTTAACAACTCATGGCATTTTTTTTTGTAAGTCAAGATCTTGCTAGAATGCAGTGGCGTTATCATAGCTCACTGCAACCTCAAATTCCTGTGCTCAGGCGATCATCCTGCCTCCCAGCGAATGGCTGAGATTCTAGGCTCCTGCGACCACACTGGCTTGATTTTTCTCTTTGTTGTAGAGACAGAGTCTCACTGTGTTGCTCAGGCTGGTCTCAAACTCCTGGCCTCAAACGATCCTTCTGCCTTTGCCTCCCAAAATGTTAGGATTATAGGTGTGAGCCACCACACCTGGCATAACCAGTCCTTTTACATCTATACCTCCATCTACTTCTGGTTGGTTTTTGAAAGCTCAGATTATGTGCTGATTTTTAAATGTACTCAGGACTCAGACCTCCCTCCCACCTCCTCCTTAGACAGCTGTAGGAGCAGCCACTACTCTCTTCCACCAGAAATGTGAAGCAGCACCAACGGGGCACTGTGTGGGTGTATCTGTATTTCAGAAAAAGCCAACATTTAAAGATAAATGTTTGGCCGGGCGCGATGGCTCACGCCTGTAATCCTAGCTCTCTGGGAGGCCGAGGCGGGCGGATTGTTTGGGCTCAGGAGTTGGAAACCAGCCTGAGCAAGAGCGAGACCCTGTCTCTACTAAAAATAGTAAGAAATTAATTGGACAACTAAAAATATATAGAAAAAATTAGCCGGGCATGGTGGCGCATGCCTGTAGTCCCAGCTACTTGGGAGGCTGAGGCAGGAGGATCGCTTGAGCCCAGGAGTTTGAGGTTGCTGTGAGCTAGGCTGACGCCACGGCACTCACTCTAACCAGGGCAAAAGAGTGAGACTCTGTCTCAAAAAAAAAAAAAAAAAAGATAAATGCTTTTTCAGATTATGGAAGAATTCATCATAGGATTCTTTTAACTGCCTAAAAACACTTAATTTTGACTCGTACTTTATAAGAGGGGTGTAAAGTGCAGTATTTGTGGTGGAAAAGCTGGTGGCTGTGGTCCAACAAAGTGGAGAGCTTGAAGCTGGAGGATTGGAGATGTGCCTCTAATCCTTACTCTACAGCTGATTCATTGTAAGTTTATAGAAACCTTTGGGTCTCAGTTTCTGTTTTTTTAAAAAAAAGTAAGTTGAATTATTATAAGAGATCGGTGATTTCCAGACACTGGGATTTTTTGAATCAATTAAAAACTGTGAGGCTACCATCCGTAGTATCTGACTGGTCATTTTGTCAGGTTAAGATGTATGTAGGCATACCTTGTTCTATTGTGCTTTGCTTTATTGCACTGTGCAGGTATATCGTGTCCTTTTACAAATTGAAGATTTGTGGCAACCTTGTGTTGAGCAAGTCTATCAGCGCCATTTTTCTCACAATATTTGCTCACCTCATGTCTCTGTCACATTTTGGTAATTCTCGCAATATTTCAAACTTTTTCATTATTATATCTGTTATGGTGATCTGTGATCAATGATATTTGATGTTAGTATTGTAATTGTTTTGGGGTGCCACGAACCACATACATATAAGACCAGGAACTTAATCATTAAAATGTTGTTTATACTCTGATTGTTCCACTGACTAGTGGTTTCCCATCTCTCTCTCTCTCTCCTTGGGCTTCCCCATCCCCTGAGACAAAAATATTGAAATTAGGCCAATTAATAATCCTCCAGTGGCCCCTTAGTGTTGAAGTGAAAGGAAGAGTTGCAGGTCTCTCACTTTAAATCTCAAAAGCTAGAAATGATTAAGCTTGGTGAGGAAGGCATGTGGAAAGCTGAAACAGGCTGAATAAAGCTAGTCTTCTTACACCAAACACTTAGCCAAGTTGCTAGTGCAAAGGAAAATTTCTTGAAATTAAAAGTACTATTCCAGTGAACACATGCATGGTAAGAAAGTAAAACAGCCTTATTGCAGATATGCAAAAAGTTTTAGTGGTCCAGATAGAAGATTAAACCAGGCACAACATTCCCTTAAGCCAAAGTCTAATCCAGAGCCACGCCCTGACTCTGTTCAGTTCTGTGAAGGCTTAGAGAGGGGAGGAAGCTGCAGAAGAAAAGTTTGAAGCTAAGGGAGGTTGGTTCATGAGGATTAAGGAAAATGGTCTCCATAACATTAAAGTACAAGGTGAAGCAGCAACAAATAGAAACTGCAACAAGTTATCCAGGAGATCTAGCTAAGATTGGTGGCTGCACTAAATAGATTTTCAATGTAGCCCAAACAGCCTTCTATTGGAAGATGATGCCATCTAGGACTTTCCTAGCTAGGGAGAAGTCAATGCCTGGCTTCAGAGGACAGGCTGACTCTCTTGTTAGGAGCTCATGTAGCTGGTGACTTTAAGTTGAAGCCAATGCTCATTTATGATTCCAAAAATTCTAAGGCTTTTAAAACTTATGCTAAATATACTCTGCATGTGCTCTATAAATGGAACAACAAAGCCTAGATGATAGCACAACTCTTCACAGCATGGTTTACTGAATATTTTAAGCCCATTGTTGAGACTTACTGCTCAGAAAAAAAGATTCCTTTAAAAATATTACTACTCATAACAATGTACCTGATTACCCAAGAGCTCTAATGGAGATGTACGAGGAGATGATTTTTTTTTTTTTTTTTAAGACAAGGTCTCTTCACTCTGCTGCCTTGGCTAGAGTGCAGTGGTGTCAGCATAGCTCACTGCAACCTCAAATTCCTGGGCTCAAGTGATCCTCCTGCCTCGGCCTCCCCAGTAGCTGGGGCTACAGGCTCATACCACCACACTTGGCTAATTATTCTATTTTTTTTGTAAAGACAGGGTCTTGCTATTGTCCAGCCTGGTCCCCAACTCCTGGCCACAAGCAGTCCACCCTCCTTGGCCTCCCAAAGTGCTAGGATTACAGGCGTGAGCCACCATACCCAGCCTAAATCGACTTGACTATAGAGCTCTTTTTTTAAAAAAAAAAAGAGAAAAAAAAATCCTTTTAAATCTCTTGTTATCAGATTTTAGCCAAGATAAACAGCCAGTATTTCTGAATTTTGAATTTTTTTTTAACCAATGTTGTCCTCCTAAGTGAAACTAATAAGCCTTCATCAAGGTTATGACTTAAATAAGGACACAAAGGCAGCTCTGAAGAGGTGCAAGGCAATCCTCATGAGATGTGGACCCACACCAAAGACAGTCCAAAGAAAAGAAAGTTTTGCTAGCCACAAATGGGGTACAACCCACATTTCTTTCCAGCCATATTTTCTAGGGTCTTGGTTTCTCAGCTGGCTATCTATACACAAAGGCCCCAAAGCCTCACGTGACCCCCACAGATGGAAGAAGACAGGAAATCAAAGCTGTCCCTAGAAGGGAAAAGGATAAATATCAAATGGGTGCTCCAAAAAGTCAAAAGTCACACAATTAGCAAACCAAGAGGTACTGGTTCCCTGACCAGGGATGGAACATGGGCTGCAGTAGACTACAAGGTGGGGGCAGCCTCATGAATGTTGTTTTTATGCTTGCATGGATGTCCATTGTACAGTCCATGGATCAAGGAGTAATTCTGACTTTCAAGTCTTACTATATAAGAAATACATTTCATAAGGCTATATCTGCCACAGATATTGTGCCCAGATCCATCAGAGGAATCACTAAATTGCATACCTTCTGGAAAGGATTCACTGTTCTAGATGTCATTAAGAACATTTGTGATTCATGAGAGGAGGTCAAAATATCAAAATGAACAGTTTGGAAGAAGTTGATTCCAACCCTCATGGGTGACTTTGAGGGGTTCAAGGCTTCAGTGGAGGAAGTAACTGCAGATGTGGTGGAAATAGCAGGAGAACTGGAATTAGAATTGGAGCCTGAAGACGTGACTGAATTGCTGCAATCTCATGATAAAACTTGAATGCATGTGGAGTCACATCTTTTGGATGAGCAAAGAAAGTGATTTCTTGAGATTGACTCTATGCTTGGTGAAAGATGCTCTGAACATTGTTGAAATACAACAAAGAATTTAGAATATTCCATAAATTTAGTTGATAAAGCAGTGACAGGGTTGGAGAGGATGGACTTCAATTTTAAAAGAAGTTCTTACTCACATGGGTAAAATGCTATAAGTAGTATTGCATGCTACCGAGAAATCTTTTGTGAAAGGAGTCACTTGATGCAGTGAACTTCATTGTTGTCTTATTTTAAAAAGTTGCTGCAACCACCCCAACCTTAAGCAACCACCACCCTTATCAGTCAGCATCCTTCAATAAGGCAAGACCCTCTCCACCAGCAAAAGGATTATGACTCACGAAAGGATCTGATGATTGTTAGCATTTTTTTAGCAAAGAAGTATTTTTTGATTAAGGTATGTACATTGTTTTTTTAGACATTATGCTATCACACACTTAATAGACGATAGTGTAGTGTAAACATAATTTTTATATGCTCTGGGAAACCAAAAAATGTGTGACTCTCTTTATTGCGATATTTGCTTTATTGCAGTGGTCTGGAACCAAACCTGCAATATCTCCAAGGTATGCCTATGCTAAAAAAAAAAAGAAAAGAAAAAAAAAAAAGTCCTACCATTACTGTCGCCATTATTTATAAAAGAAAAAAAATAAAAAAACGAAACACTTGGCACCAAACATTGGATACCTTTAGCTTTCTGAGCAACTTACTCTGTTGTCATTGTTTTTTCTTTTTGCCTAATGACATCATCAGGGGACTACACTGGTTCACAGACCTGTTTGAAAACCACTCATTAGCTCTGTAAATTCCTTTACAGCAGGAAGATTCTGATTTCGATATTCTTATGAAATCCATCTTTTATGGTCATACCTTTTACAGTATTGGTAGATTTCCCCACCCCATCCCTTTTTAGGCTTAGGCATTAGGCATAGGAACCTTCAAGTTCTATTGAGTGTCAGATTCACCAGTTTCAACTTGTGTGTGTGTGTGTACCTGTGAGAGAGAGAAGGAGAAAGAGAGAGAGATACAGACAATATGTTTACATGATTTGCCCTATTCTCCCAAATGGACATTTATTCTAGAATTTGAAGTGGCAGGCATTATGTAAACCTCTAGGTTTCTTGCCTGTCAGTAGTGATGATTCCTGGGATCCAGAGATGGCCACCGCCGGTGCCTAAGAATCACTTGGGAAGCTTTAAAAAATCCCCATGCTTTGGGCTCACACCCTCAGAGATATTGTGTTTCCCTGGGTTGAGGCCAGCATTGGGATGAGTTAAATGTTTAGCCAGGATTGAGAACCACTGGTCTAGAGGCCCACTGGCTGCAGGACACGTGGTAACCTCAGTGAGGCCTAGCAGGACAAAGAAGTTTTTATAATCCACTTGGTTGCCTTAAAGAAAGCTCAAGAGTCATGTGGGATGGCATTAGTATCATGGCTCATATGGCTCAAGGGTAATTTTCAGTTCAGGATTTGAGCTTCAGCCCCTGGGTACAGCTCCTTTAATATCCACACATAATTGAACACAAAATAGGGCTGACTCACACATAGTTGAACACAAAATAGGGCTGACCTCCTGGCTATGCTGATATTCAGATGAATTATTTTCCACTTCTCAGCTTTTCCCTTTTGGCCCCTTCATCCCATTCACAGTAACTGGAACATGGGCATTCCTGCTCTCAGTGCTCAGTTGTCCTACTCTGTAGCAAATCTCCCCCTGTCAAAAATGGAATCTTAAATCAGCCATTTATATTTACTGTAAACACTTTGCAAACAAAAAACCAAACACCACATGCTCTCACTTGTAAGTGGGAGCTAAGCAATGGGTATGCGTGGTCATACAGAGTGACATAATGGACATTGGAGACTCAAGGGGGAATGTGGGGAGGTGCAGGATGAAAAATTATCTGTCGAGTACAATGTACACTATTCAGGTGATGGGTACACTAAAAGCCTAGACTTCTCTACTATACAATTCATCCATGTCACAAAAAACCATTTGTACCCCCTAAATCTATTAAAATTTAAGAAAGTATTTTATAAAGGAAAAAAAATGTTTTGTAGGTCTTTTACCCAAACGGAAAATATTTCAGGGTTTTGTTGTTGTTGTTGTTGTTGTTAAATCTCTCATTAGCTGAAAACTGTTATAAAATTTGGGGTTGTTAGGAAAAAAGTAGGCAGAAATTTTGAAGGATGGGGGCCCATATCATCATCAGTAAGGGAAAATTTAGGCTTTTTATGTGACGGGAAGAAGAGGGAGACCTGAGAACTCCCCATTCTTGAGAGAGAAAGACCTAGTGTTTGGGCGACAGAGTGCTTGTAGGAACCTTTGATGCTGGACACTGTTCATGGGGTGTGTGGGGACGGTGGGGCAAGGAGGACAGGACCACGTGGCTCTCATTGCCTGTCCTTTAGCACAAATGTGCTAAACCAGCCCTAGCGTATCCACCCTCCCCTCCAAGCCCTATCTTCCCTCAACTTCTCTGAAGTCTTAAAACATATTTGATGCCTCATGTATTTGTCTTCTGATGTCAGTTTTGTCAAAGAGAATGCAATCTCTTCCATAATCTGATATTACTGTTGACCAGATTTGTGATCCTACTATATAAAAAGGAAAGTTTACTTACTTTAAAAATCAGTAAGTCTATGGTAGGCCTCTACAACCATGGATTCAACCCACTACAGATTTCGTAAGAAGGAAAAGATTACATATCTAACTACATAAAAATTGTATGGTAAAAGATGCCATAAGCAAAGTCAAAATCAAAGGATAGATTACCAAAACCTGTTTATTATGCATGGCCGACAAAGGGTTAATATCCCATTTACCTAGAAAGCCGTAATTCCTTGATTAGAAAAACAAATCAACAACCTAATAAAAAATGGACAACTTCCAGAAGAGAAACTATCATGGCTGTTAAACATGGGAAAAGATGGCCAGCTTCGTAAGTGGTCTGGGAAACGTAAATTGTAATAGTCATGGGAGTCCCTGTTTTCCGATCAGATAGAGTCAGTGCTAGTGAGCATATGAGGAAACAGGTGTGTTCAAACAGCGCCACTGGCAACACGAACTGCTGTTATCTAATTATGGTAGTAATCTGGCAACACTCATTACACTTTAAAGTGCGCCCGACCTTTGGCCAACATTCTCTCTTTTGGGAATCTTTGCCATTAAAACAAACACCCCAGTAGGTATAGACCTGGATAAGTATAGACCTCTTTATTACAGCGTGAAGCGTAGTGGCAAAAATACTGGAAATATTTGAGTATATATCAACTGAGGAATTGTTGAATGAATTATGGCACATGTATATATGGGATATTTTAAAGATATTGAAAAGGATATTAGATGTCCATATATCAACCTGGAGGGAAGGGTTTATTGATAATTTTTAAAAAGCAGATTGTTAAATATATTTAGTGTGATTCTATTTTGGTTAAAAAAAACAAAACGAGAAACCAAAGAGCAAGAAACTAGAAAACCACTCTGTGATCTATGTTTATATGAGACAAAGGGGTTGAAAGGCCCACACCAGGCAACCTGTCAACATTGGGTCCTCAGGGATAGGACTGCAGGAGGGAGATCATTATGCTTTCCATTTTGCCTCTCTTTACTACTTTACCATTTTGACTTCTCACAACTAATATCTGTTAGTTTTATAAGTTAAGAAAGCTTATACAATAACCCTCCTCTCCCCCCCAAAAAAAAACAAAAAAAGAAAGTTCATACAATGAACAGTTAAGAGAAAATTAACTTGGATTTATATTTGGTTTAATATTTTCAGCTTTATCGTATTTCTCGTAGTTGTGACTTTTGTGGGAGGGAGAGGGGTTAGAGTGCAAGTTCTGCTAACCTCAGAGTTCCTTAATTTATACCTAATTTTAAGGTCACACTAATACTGTTGAACTCTTTGTCAGTAGAGCTTTGTTGGAGCTGTAGATTTAGAGCTACAGTAAACACTTAGAGTTAACATAGGGAATAAAATGTGAACTTTCTATGTTACATAGATAATTAAGACACTACAGTGGAGAGATGGGGAGAGATTGTATTTCAGAATCTCAATGCCTAAGGTCAGTTAAAAATGCAACTAAGATTTTGTTGCTTAGGGTTTTGTTCTATTCAGTCTTTAATTCAACCATTCGTGTTAGGATTCATTAATAGTTCTATTTCATGGCAGTAAGGTAAGTGGTTGTGTTTCCAATTACAAATTCTAAGTATAATCTTATTTCCATCTCAGGAGACTATTTGGTAGCAATTGAAGAGAAAAACAAAGCTACCTTTCTGCGTGCTTATGTGAACTGGAGAAGTAAAAGGACTGAGAACTCTCGAGTGTGTATTCGAATGGTTGGGCATAATGTGGAGACACCCTTCAGCGAAAACTTCAGAGACCAGATGTCTATTCTTGAAATGCCACTTTCTGAGGCTCCCTTGTGCATTTCCTGTTGCCCTGTGAAAGGAGATCTTCTTGTTGGCTGCACAAATAAGTTAGTCTTATTTAGTTTGAAGTATCAGATCATCAATGAGGAATTCTCAATATTGGACTTTGAACGTTCTTTAATTATACACATAGCTAATATCACTCCTGTCGAAATTTCTTTTTGTGTTGGATATGTCGGTGTCATGTCAGACTTAGAAGTTTTAATCCTAAAACTAGAGTTAGACCCTAAAAATGGAGAGAGAGTTCACCACCATCCACGTAAGACCAGCAATCCAATGAAACAGACAGAAGAAGGTAAATGATGAATTTAACTTGCTTTCTTGTTTTGGGTATGAAGAAAACCTTTACCTTTGGCAGTTTCTGAAGGGCTCTATTATATATGGTATCAGCCACATTATTTATAGATTTAGTTATTCCTGTTTCATGGGATTTGAGTTTGTGATCTGGCTGTCCGGATCTCATGTTGTACCTTGTAACTGTATTTCTGTGTATATTAGTCAACAGAAGTAATGGAACAGTCGCAGATAGATAAGCAGTTTCTAGTCCCTTAAGTTAGTAACACCATCTCTGCATTCCAGTTTCCTCATGTGTAAAATGGGAATGATAATACCTATCTTGTGGTACTTTATCAGTTCTTGTGGGGAATAAATGAGCAAGTGCTGAGGATTTTCAAAACCACAGTTCCTTCTAAATATATGAAATGCGTGTGTATATAACTAAATAAAATTACTATGTATCTACTTAATTGGTGGGAGGATATTGTGAAATCCAATTTTCATTTAAGCAGATAATAGTACTTAAAGTTGTTAAACTCTTAAATTTTATTTTTTTTAAGGTATCAGTAATGAACTTTCACAGCTTGAGTCAGATGATTTTGTTATCTGCCAAAAGCCCATGGAGCTTCTTGGTAAAAAAAGCGAACAGTCCGGATTATCTGTTACACTGGAATCTACAGGATTAGCTGATGAACAACTAAAGTATTTCCACATTCAGCACCTGCTCTACAGGTATTAGATAGCTTTTTATTTACCAGCACTGAATATATATGTATCTGCTTAAAGTACATGGAAATTACATTTCTCCCTCTGTCTTTTTCAACTCATAGACGTTTTGCTCCTGATGTTTCATCCTATGTCTTGCCTGATGACATCAAGTTGCATTCCCTCCAGCTGCTACCCATTTACCAGACAGGTAAGTATGACAGTGCAGGAGTGTGACAGTGCAGCGAGGTACAAGGGCTGTGGATGGGGAGGGGAGACCACTGTGGGTGATAGGTTTCGTTCTTCCACTGAGTCTCCCTGTGGCCCTGGACAAAGTCCTTAGCAAATACCTGTGAGCACCAGAAAGGGAAGTCATGTCTGCCAGGAGAAGTCATGGAGAGAGTGTGATAGACAGAATGCATTTCCCTTTTTGAAATGGTCTCTAGGTCCAGAAAGGGAACATCAGAGCTCTGTTAGAACTGAAGTGTATCTGTGTTCTAGCTCGGTATCTGGCAAAGCTTCTTACAGTGGCCTTCTGAGCAAGATGGGAAAATGTGGACTGAATGGAAATTCAGAGTAGTGGTTTTCAATCCTGCTGCACGTCAGGCTTACCTGCATACTGTTAAAAAAATATTGATGCCCAGATTCTACATGCTGGATATTCTGACTTAATTGGTCAATTATGGGGCCTAGGCATCAGTATTTTTCAAAAGTTCCCCAGGAGTATAATGGGCACCAAGATTAAGAATTACTAATAGGCTCTGCACTCAGTCCTGGCCTGCTTAACATCTTTAGATGTTGTCTAGAAAAAGATATAAATATTACTCCAATTAAATGTCTTTATTACCTTCATTTCTTTCTTTCCTTACTGAATATTTATTGAGTACCTAATATGTTGAGTATTGTGCTGAATACTGGGGAACCAACAGTGAGCAAAGTGCCTATACTTATGGAGCTAATTGGCAGGGGAAGGCAGACATTAATCGAATAATCACAAAAATCACAATTTTACCCTGAAATGTGTGCTCTGTGGGAAAGGAACCCCGGTGTAATAGCCTATAACAAAAGACCCTGACCTCAGACCTCATCTTGAGGTCAGGGAAGGCTTCTTGAGGAAGAGGATGTGAAGAGTGAATTGGGCTGACTCGGGAACAGTGGTTGGTACAGGGGAGGGGAAGAGAGCCGTCCAGGCAGAGGAAGCAGCAAAAGTTGCTGCTGAGGGAAAATCATGTTTGAGGAACTGAAAGAAGCCAGACTGGGGAGAGCAGAGCAAGGGAGAGGAGGTGTGAGACAGGGCTGGAGACCAGACGGGGCCCATGGCCATGTTAGAGGGTCAGCTCTTTTTCCAGTGAGCTTCCCATAGCATTTGGAATAAAAATCCCCAATCCATTCCATGGCCTACGTGACCCTTACTCTGAGCTCATCTTGTCCGACTGTCACCTTGCTTACTATTCTCCATCCATAATGACCTTTCTCTCTTCCTCAGGTATGCCGAGTGTACTCTTACCTAAGACTTGTTATTTGCTCTTCTTGTGCTAAGAAGTGTGTTTCCTTAGATCTTGTGTGACAGGTGCATTCAGGTCATTCAGCTCACAGCTGAACTGTAACCTTACCGCAGAGGACTTCCCTGACCTCTTAATTTAAAATCTCCTTTATGCACACACTGTGGAGTTTACTTGTTCATTCCTCATTCCAGTCCCCATGACTAGAATGAAGGCTCTGTGGAAGCACTTACCTTGTCTTGTACACTGTTGTATCCCTAGAACTCGGAATAGCAGCATTTAGTAGGTACCTGATGAATATTTACTAAATAGACAAATGGTGATGTGTGTTTAAGCTAGGCCCTAATGGATGAGTAGAATTTTTAGAAGATGGAGCTTTTGGTAAGATATTACATAAGAGGAACTAGTATGTGCAAGGTGTAAAATTATGTGTGTTTGGAGATTAGTGAGCAATTCTGTTTGGCTAGAGCACACGTGGGAAGAAATAAAGAGGGAAGAAATAAAGAGAGAAAAAAACTGAGCATTTGGCTTTGGACAAAATGTGGAGAGTGCAGAATTGGACTTCTGATATTCATGGGTGTGCTTGAAGAGTGTCAGTCAGAAGAGTACTTTTTAAAAAATTTTGGTTATAAAAAATTTCAAACAGAAAGTAGTATTGATTCTTTCCCTTTATTGGTTTCCTGGTATTTATTTCTTTCATTTTTTGCATGCAGGTTCTTCTGATGGAAAAAAATTGTCTCAGGAAAAAGAGTTGCTGAGTCTCTTTTGTTTTTTCTCCTTACCTCATGTGGGCTATCTCTACATGGTTGTCAAATCTGTTGAATTAATGTCAGTCTACCACTATCCAGAGAAGTCTCAGCAGGCGGTGCTCACGCCGCAATTCTTGCACGTCATTACAAGGTACTGTTACAGTGTCACTTGCTGGCCTTCCAGGCACTTGTTTTTCTGTAAATTTTTGAGGTGCTGCCTAAATATTTAACTGAGAATTGTGTGAACTCATAGAGAGCACTGTAATGAGTTACATTTATCTTTTCAAAGCTGTTTTTTGATGTCATATACCTGCCTTTGCAATGCCAAAGATTTAGACTCTGGTTTTGTCTTTGTTTTATTTCCTTAGACTGGGTGGGGATCCTTGTAAGGAAGTATAACATTCTTCATGAAAGAAGGTTTTTATAGGGAATTCTAATGAAAAGTCACTGGGGCCAGACAGGGCATCTTTTTAAATTTCTTTTTAGATTTCCTAAATCTTTTTTCACTACTACCATATTTTTTTTCCATATGAATCAAGTTATTTCATAATGGTTTAGAACTGTGAAGGAACCAGAAAGATGATTTGATTCTACTCCCTAATTAGTATATATAGGGAAATAGAGAGAGGTTGGGATTGGCCAAAGGTATGTACTAATTAGTAGCACATGTCTTCTGAGTAGCCTTACCCTGTTATGCTGGCATGGAGGCTGGGTTCCTGAGCAGGAGTTTGATCTTACTTCCTTTTATTTCAGCAGTAAGTGATGCTTTTGGTTCTGTTTCCTGTTTTTTGAGCTTAGATTATGTTCAAGGCATTGCCTTGTGCCCTCTGACTAAGCAACCGTGAATAAGGTACACCAGCTGCTTTCTAAAACAATATAAGAAAAGGTTAGGGACATGATACATACAAGGGCCACAAACACTAGGAGTTTCGTGAAAAATGTCTTAAGACTTCATGAGAGTGCTGTAGGCACTGGGAGGAGGGAAATTACTTCTGTCTGAGTCATGTGGGAAAGTTGCAGATGGGTGGTTGTGTTTGAAATGAGTCCTGAAAGCTAGCTAGAATTGTGATGGATGGAGATTGGAAGAGATGGGCGTTGTAGATAGAGGAAGACCATAAACAAAGGCTATGTCCAGTTTTTTAGGAACATCTAATAATTAACTGCACAAGGCAGTGATTTTTTTTCCCCCAGCTGAGTGGTAGTATCAGAATCTCCAGCAGGTGCTAGAGTATATTTCTAACTGCAGAGAACTCACCTGGAGATTCTGATATCCACTCTTAGTGGTCATGTTCCCCTTTCCTTCTGATTTCTGGTGTACCGAGAAATGCTGCTGATGGGAGTGTGTTTCTTAAGTGAACAATGTGGAGGTAGCTAGTCTTCCCAATTTCCAAAGTGTTGTGTAGTGATGTTCTTTAAATATGAAGAAGCTGAAAAGTAGAGAAGTGGTGAAAATAATGCTTGACAGAGAGCTCAAAGCTTTGAAAATTAAACTAAGGAATTTTTTAAGGTTTTGACCAGAGAAAGTGATGTGATCACAACATTGCTTTAGGAAAATTAGTGGTGGCTCTTGTGAAGGAAGGATCAAACCTAGATAAATAAGCTATTGAAATGGTTCAGGCAGTGATGTTAAGGAGCTCTACTTGGTAGCAGGAAAGAAGGATGGATAGGAGAGTCTTCAGCAGAGAGGGATAGACTTGGTGTCTGATGGAATAACAGGGATGGAAGAGGCATGAAAAATCCCACCAGGGTTTTGAGCCTGCTTTTATGAAACAATGGAGGCTGGTGTAATGTGGGGCGAAAGAAGTTAGGTTTAGACATTCGAGTTTGAGATGTTTATAGACTATTGAGAGGGAATGCTAAGTAGGCTTTTGGATACATAGAGCTGTATATTAGGTTAGAGAAGAAAGCTTAGAAGTTTTGATATCATCAAAAAAGAGCTGATTATCAAAGTAGTGAGCATGGCCCCAAGAGTGTGTAGACGAGGAAAAGTTGTTGGAGAATTAAACTCTGGTGAAGGTCATGTTTAGTAAGCAAGAGGAGAAAGAGAAAGATCTTTAAGGATGCAGAAGAACTAGGAAACGATAGCATGTCAGAAACCAAGAAAAAGGAGAGGGAAAAAGAGGAAATAAAAATATTAATTTCTGTCCCAAAATATTGATGTGAAAGATTATCCGTCTTTCTCCTTCTGATTGTATACATGTACAGGACACTGAGAATTTCATGAGTGAACCCATTCCATTTATTACCCCATGTCTCTTATGTATAAGTCAAGGACTAATTTCTTATGTGGAGTGCTGAAAACATGGTTTTATGAGGGTTTGAAAGGACTTATAATTTGTGGATTTTTGACTGCCTCCAGGTAGAAAATTTTTGGAGTTTTCTTAATATCAGCACCAGAGACACTCTGATATCATTAACCTGACCGCGGAACCATTAGACATTAGAATAGCAGTTATACGTAAATTCAGATTCTTAATAAGGTCCCACACTCCTATATTTAAAATTCTATATTGTTGAACTCATTTATACATATTTTTTATTTTACCCAATAGATAAAGATTTAAGAAAAATCTTGTCCCAGGTACTGCGAACACTATTTGGGTGATGGGCACACCTATAACTAGGACTCAAGCATTATGAAAACGATCCGTGTAACCTAAGCATTTGTACCCCTTTAATATTTTGAAATAAATTTTTGAAAAAGTTAAAAAAGAAAGAAAAATCTTGTCCCAATAAGGTTTATTTTGAGAAGTTTCTTGAAGATTGGTATGTTTACATACCTAAAAAAAGCATGTTGCAAAATTTTTTTGTAAGAATCAAGGAACAAAATAAAATCATGTAAAATGCCAGCCTTACAGAAATATATAAGTAAGAAAGCCTTCCATGAAAGCCTACTCCCCAGAGTCAACTGTATATACAATTGGTATGTATTCATCCAACTTTTTTCTTTACAGTACATGTATTACTATGCCTTATTTTTTACAGATGTGGATCATACTGAGTACACTGTTCACTAACTTGCTGTTTTGCTTAGCAGTAGAGTGTATCTTGGATGTCTTTCCATGCCAGCACGTTTCTGTTTATCTTCTCTCATACTTATACTTAGTATTTTAACAATAGCCAACAAGCTGGGTTCCTACAGGTGGAGGTGAGTCAGAGGACCATGCCTTTATCTTTCTAGAGCATGAAGGTCATTTATCTTTGCAGTCATATCAATTCTCAACTGTGATTCTGGCCCCACTGCAGGTGATTTTTTTGCTCCCCACTCTCTCAGTTTACTTCCAAGACTGCTAACTGCTCCAGGTTTGTAAGTGGTGGTGCTGCTGTCCCAGTGATTGTCAGGACTCCAGAGGTTATTTCCTAGAACTTTGCAGAAATGGACAGAGGTGGCCATGGGCTGAGGCTGAAGTGGAAGCACCAACAGGTGGAGAGAGGCCTAAGTATCTCTTTCCTACATTGTGCGGTCTCCCAGCTGAAAATGTCAGAATGCCTTTCTTGTTGAAGTATTTCTTTTACTTGAATATAACTATTAGGTTTGCTTTAGTCCTTTTTTTTTTTTTCCCAAAGAGTTCATTTTTATTTCTCTCACTTTCTAGTTTATTTTTAAAAATGATTCTTGTGAATCCACAACAGATAACCGAGCATCTATTGTGCACTTACTGTGGGGTCCCAAGGTTCTTTTACTGTGCAGAAGCAGCTTGGAGCTGTGGAAAGAGGTAAAGGAATATATGGAGTCAGGAGACCTGGGATATAATTGGCTCTACTCTCCGGAGAGGACTTGGACCAGTCATGAACCTTCCATGCTCTGATCTTTAAAATAAGCTGCTGGTGTAGGTAATTCTGTAGGTTCCTTCAGACAGTCTTTCATTTTCAGTCCTACCACCGAGTTTGTGGTTTGCATAGTCTAATTGTGTTGCCCAGTGTAATCCAGGATGAATTTCATCTTGAGATGGGTGAGGTAGAATAGTCAGGAAACAGGTTCTAATCTTGGTTTTGATAGTAAGCCATCTGTATCTTGAGCAGATACTGGGAGGCATCATTTTATTTGTAAAATGAGGACATTGACCCAAATCCTTGGTTCTTAACTGGGGGTGTACATCAGAGTTACACATGGAGCTTCATCAAATTACACATGCTAGATTCAGCCTCTGGAGATTTTGATTAAGTACGGGTGAGGTGAGGATCAGTTACATGTTTTTTAAAACACACCACAGGGATTCCGAGGCACTCTCTTGTTGAGAAGCAGTTTAATTTGGCAAAATTTGACAAATACTTGAGTCTTCTTCAACCTCCTGCCATTGCCCTGTTTGCCTGTGAACATCCCCCCGCTCTACTGTAGGCATGTTGGTTATTGGCCTCCACTTTGCTCAGCAGTCTCCCTCCTCTTCCTCAGCAATAACCTGCAGTGTTTCACGGTGCGGTGCAGTGCAGCGGCAGCTCGTGAGGAGGACCCATACATGGATACCACCCTGAAGGTTAGAACTGGCTTCTGAAGACAGTGAAACCTTAAGACCAAAAAGGAACATATGAATGCTTACAAATTTGCTCTTAGGCCTAAGCTTGGTGAGGAGTAAAGGTCTTAATGTTGTTTTACGTATTGAATTAGAACTTTTGGATGTAAGATAGTAAAAGCATTTTGTGATTCGTGGTTTAGTTGACAGTTTTTAAGATTGCTTTGAAAACATTTCATTCAGTTGGTTCAGTGCATAGTTTTTAAAGTTTGGTAAAGCATATGTATAGTGTAAATTTAGAGAGAGCTGTTCACAACTGTAATATACTATTTTATTTTTTTAATAGAAATCTTGGTGGCAGTTGTACAGAGCTGTTAATCAAACAAGAGCACAAAATTGAATAAAATGCATTAAAATGATTTATTTATACTATTATAAATAGTATAACACACTTAGACATTAGATATGCCTATAATTCTTTTGTCATTTTACAAGCCTTCTGTACTTAATCTGAGTTAATGGATATGCTACATCAATAACCTCATTTTTAGTGAGAAGTAATGTGCTTAGTCTCTGAAAAGCTCTTACCCACAAAATAAACGCGGGCATTTTTATGACGAAACTCTGTTTTCTGACCTTGAATTTCTTTTCTCAGAAATATACTGATCATTTGCATAATATTCATCTATGCTATTTCACCTCTATAGTATAAGCTATTTGAATGGCTAATTGTTATGAATATACATACTGCAAGAAACCCCCAAATCATGATGGCCTATATTTCAAAAGTTGGTTTATGTCTACTTGGAACCTGGAATGCCTTTTTCTGTAAAAATAAGCCTTCAATAATGATGGTTATATGAATAAACCAGCCCCTGTGGAGTGCCTGATGTGTCTGAGGCACTCTCCCAGTCCCTGTCACCCACATTGCGTTTCATGGAAAGCGTGGTTCTTAAGTTCTCAGTGACTCTTTTTTTGGCCATGGCCTGCCTGTAGTTTTCTGTTGCTGACCAGGCTAACGGCCTGCCTTCAGCCTCTTGGGAAACCAGATTTTCTGTGCCTTTATATGTGTACACACGTAGCCTTTTAAAGAGATTATTTTTAAAAGGGGTTGTTTTCCTAGTAAAAATGGAAAGGTGACTAAGATTACAAAAAGCTTCCATTCTTTGTTTCTCTCTTTGTTTCCCCCACCTTGCCTTTTTAAACCCGAGAAAGACACAAGCCTACATAGGGGTGATGGTGCACTTTAGGGTATGTAATAGATTGAAGTAGGATCAAGCCGCATTTGAAAATCATAATTCCACATCTTTTCAGAGTCTCAAACCAGAGGGAAGGAAAAAAGAGGAGACCAAAGTGAGGGAACAGGCAAGGTGGGCAGCTGGTGGGACATGCTGCCCTTGAGTCCAGTGGAGATGGAAGAGGGAAGGACAGTGATGGTCACGCCGTATCGCTCATGCTTCCCTGCAGCTCTACCAGTTCTGAAGTCCTCGATGCCACCTGAACGAGCACACATTTAGCGTGCTTGCTGACTCGGCATTGAGAACTGTGATGGCTGAAAAAGGTTTCACAACCTCAGAGTCTGGTGGAAAGAGCATGTGGTCTTTATCTCCCTTTCCTTTAAAATTCTGGCCCCTTAGTGCTAGGCAAGGCCACTTGAACTATTTTTAGAAATGAAAATATAGACGAAGGTATTTCCCCTATCACTTTGTACAAAGGGACAATGAAGATGACCTCAGGATCAAGACAGCATTAATGAACAAGAGCTCTCAGAAAGCTCTTCCAGTGTCTTTCTTATCCATTCTTCTAGAATTAATGGTCCCTTACAGGAGCAGGAGCTGGCTCTTCCAGTTTATCTGACATGCCCTGGCCTGTCAGCTATTCCAGGCATGGTTCTCACCTAAGGGGCTAACAGGGGTATCCAAACAGACATACAAGCATTTCTTGTACACACCTATCCATAAAGAAACCATTTTATGTACCTGTGTGCAGTACAGTGTCCCTTCATAGTGTCTGATTTTGCCTAGAAACTCCTTTTGGGCATATCCCCGAGCCAGCCCACTATTGGTGGTGATTTCTGGGCTGGCAACTTACTGGCCCAGGGTTGCTCTCCACTAGGGCTCTGTGGAGTCACTCTGTAGGGCATGTGCAGGAGTTCCTACACTGTGGGACCCTCTTTCTTCTTTTATTCAATCAACAAATACTGAGTTTGTTGACTGAGTAGCTTTATAAAATAGATGTTGTTTATATAGGTTTAGATAACCTCCTTACTGTGTTAAGAATAGGAATTAGAGGGTTTTTTTGGGGGGGAAGGGGAGAGCAGAAGAGATTTTATCAAATAAGCAAACTGATTTTTGAAAATTAAAGTTTGTGTGCTTTTTATTCCTTGGTTAAATTTGTGATTTTTCCTTTACTAGGCTTGCCCACCTGTCAGTATGGATGTCTGTGCTTTAAGAATACAGCTTTTCATAGGCTTGAAAGCCATCTGTCACTTTAAAAACCACATTATACTTTTGACTAAGGCAGATGCTGAGGCCATTCCAGAGAGAAGAGAGTCACCCAAGAGGCTTCTGTAAGCATCTCCTCACCGCCAGGCATTCCTGCTAAAGTTTCTGGAGTGAATTGTAACTTTTTTGTGTGTGTCTTGGAAAAGTGTTCTTTTTCCAGAGAAAGAAAAGAAGGTTCTAATGATCTCTATAGTATCCTTTGTCGTTGACCTTGGAGCTTTTAGAAGAAAATGAATTATAAAATAGTTTCGGTAAAAATCAGTGGTATTTTAGATAAGAAGTTAAAGGATATGCTTTTCTATGTCATGAATAGAAAAGACAGGGCCTGTAATGCCGATCCAAACTATAAGACTGTTTACCATTTTTCTCTTTTGATCTTTCCATAGTTATATTTTTATTCAAAGATTATTTTCTGGTATTGCAAAAGAAATTAATAATGCATTTTCTTACCTTAAAGCACATTCTTGATTTATAGATATGTACTGATCTACCTTAAAATAAAATTGCTTTTTGATGACGTTAATTCCTCGTTAACTCTTAGGGTTTCTGCTTTCACATTATTTAGAATAGAATGCTAAATTCCAGACTAGTTTTGCTTGTATTTGATGTTTTCTCTACTGCGAACTTAGTGGTAGAGAATGCAATCTAATTTGAACATTTCTTTAAGGAAAATTTAATCAAGAAATAAATCTGCTTGCGGGAAAGAAGCATATAATGTATTCATCTTTCAAGTCCAACATAGGTTTTTATTTTTAGTATAAGCTTTTATTTCTTCAAATTGTTTGCACCTGTGCTTTGTTCCACCAACAGAAATCAGAGGTTGACTGGTCACTTAGAGTGTACACAAAGTGGTCTGAGACTAACTGATCCTAAAAGCTTTCTGATGAGAGGAAAAACGATTTGTAGTCTTTCACATTTGACATTCTAAAATTACCTTATTTTTTAAGTGATTTTAAACATTCTGATTTATTTGAAAATTTATTTGACCAAAATATTTTCAAATATTATATACTAAAGAAAATGTATCACATAGCGAAAGCAAGAGATAAGATAGTGCTTTAAGCAGACTTACAGTTTTTTGTGTCTTCTGCCATGGGCACAGGGACTTTGACAGCCAAGGTTCTTTTTCTTTCAATGGACCTTGCCTGTTCTTTGAACTTATTGCTCATTTAAAAATACTTGTGGAGTGAATTGGAAGCAATTGGTTTATCAATGCATAATAGTTATAGAATATTAAATGCTGTAGGCCTAAACTAATAGTCTATAAAAATAGACTACAGCTAATCACTGAAGAAAACACCTAATGAAAATGATTTCACAGTTATATTATTTTATGGTATCTAATATTTACTACTTAAAACTGTCATTTATTAATGTGTCTTAAATTTCTTGTCCTTTGTTTTGCTTTTAGTTCTAGAAAAGATACCAGTGTTAAGATCAAAATACCTCCTGTAGCTGAGGCTGGGTGGAATTTGTATATTGTGAATACAGTCTCACCAGTGCAACTGTACAAAGAGATGGTACTTTTTTTAAACTTCTGATTCTTATAATTTACAGTGAAATTGATAATCAGAAATTGATTCTAATTATCATACATTCAGGATGCCACAGCAAACCAGCTTCCAGACTCTGACCGTGTAGTCTGTATCTTTCTACACCTTCTTGCTTTCATAGCTTCTGACATTTGAGGAACCAGTAGAAATTACCTTCACAAAAATAACACTCCCTTATTCATACCCATCCTCCTAAGAGGATCAATTAGCCAGTCTAAACATAAATAGCCTTTGACCTTCTCTTTGAATCCTAGCCAAGAGAACCATGAAATTGAGCTAAAAGAAATCTAAGCTCATTTATCCCTTTCCCATGCTTCTTCCTTGAAATATTAGCAGATTGTCTCAGGGCTGCAGCATTGTCCTGTGGGGAGGGTCCCAGAGTGGGCATCCTTGTTCCTATTCTAAGAGTAATAGCTCCCTACTCATCTTTGGCAATTATTTTAATTCTGTATTTTGAAACATTTCAAACTTAAAGAAAAACTGCAAGAATAACAACAGTATAAAGAAAACCTTTTATTCCCCACACAGATTCACCCACAGTCAACATTTTACTCCCCATTTGCTTCCGTTTTTTTATTTTGTTGCTGTTTTTGTTTTTGGCACCTTGGGTTTTCTAAGACACACACACACACACACACACACACATTTTTTCTGATCCATTGGAAGGTAAATTGTATGCATCATAGCCTTTTGCCCCTACGTACTTCAGCGTATATTTTCTAAGAGTCAATACAGTCTCTTGCATGACCACAGTACAGTCATATGCTTCAGTAAACTTAATGTTGACACAATACTTAATCTAGTCTATGGTTCCCATTCCAGTTTTGTCAGGTGACCCAATAATGACTTAATAGCATTTCCACCCCACCTCTTCTAGTCCAGGATCCACTGTGGGATTAGATGGTATATTTAATAATCATGTCTCTTTAGCCTCCTTGAATTTGGAATGTTTCTACAGCCTTTCTTTGTATTTTATGACATTGACATTTTTGAAAAATATAATTTCCCCTCCACTTTTTTTTTTTTTTTTTGAGGCAAGATGTCCCTCTGTTGCCCTCGCTAGAGTACATTGGCATCATCATAGCTCACTGCAATCTCAAACTCCTGAGCTCAAGTGATCCTCCTGCCCTCAGTATCCCACATAGCTGGGACTACAGGTGCTCACCACCACTCCCAGCTAATTTTTTTCTGTTTTTGGTAGAGATGGGATCTCAGTCTTGCTCAGGCTTTCTTCTTCTTCTTCTTCTTTTTTTTTTTTTTTTTAACGATTAGACTCAGACTATGCATTCTCAGCCAGAATATTATATAGATGATGTGGGGTTTTTTTAGGTTATCACATCTGGAGACACATGATGTTCATCCACCCCTCGTTGGTGATATAAATTTTGATCATTAGATCAAGGTGTCGCCTGATTTGTATCTGACATTTTAATGCTGATAATTATATTAGCTTTGCCCTATCTTTTTAGTCTTGCTTAATTCAAAGTCTTAGACTTCACTTAGGTGATTTGACTACAGGAGTTTGAATATACTGATTCAGTCAGATTAGCTACTGATAATTTGTGTGAGCCCACTGTGTGTTATGGAAATAGATGTGATAGAACCTAAACTCACCAACTGAAACTAAAATAAAGGAGGGATACTCTTTAAAATACAGAGTTAAATCATGGAGCTTTTTTTTTTTAAAAAAAAAAAAAAGTTAACCATTTCAAATACGTTCACTAGTCTTACCAAATTGGGGTCAATTTATTGCTAAGTTAAATGGTATTACTAGTATTACAGTGCTATTTGGACCTTCTATAATGATTAGAGCTATTTAACAAGGTAGTATTTATAATTATGTGTGCATTAAACTGGCTCACAGATGGTGGGGAATAAAGCACTTCAGGTAAGGCCCTATCAAAATAGTAAATAATCACATACTTACTTTTAGGGTTTAATATGTCCAAATATTAACTTTACTAACAAAATGTATAGATGTTCTTAAGAACTGGGAAGCTTTTGGGAGTTTTTCTTCAGCAACATTAGCATTTGTCTTTTTTGTTTTAGGTGGACTATAGTAATACCTACAAGACTGCCAAAACCCAGAGCTGCATTCATCTTCTCAGTGAGGCTCATCTGTTAGTGAGAGCTGCCCTGATGGATGCCACTCACCTGGAACCCGGGGAGAAAGCAGAACTTCTGGAAGTATTTAAGGAAAGCTGTGGGCACCTTGGGGACTGTTACAGCAGGTTGGTGACGCCTCTTGGAACCATGTTACAGAAACCATCTTGAAGTTTTGGTGTACTGGTTAGCTTTTCCATGTCTGGTAGTTACCTGATAAATGATATAATGCATGAGGGGAGGTGGTTCGTTTATTCACTTCTTCCACAAGCATTTATTGAATGCATACTGTTTGCTAGGTACTGTGCTAAGCTTAGAGATACAAAAATGAATGTGACCCATTCCCTGCCTGCAAGGAGTTGCAGTTTATTAAATGAGCAGTAAGTTTAGGTTCATGAGTCTCCCACTGCTTAATTTAGGAATTTAAAGATTTTTTTTCAGGCCTTGAGGTGCCCATAACCAGTGAAAATCCCTGAAACAGCTGTATTACTGGTTTATTGTCTGTTAGCTTAAGAGAGAGATGCCAGTTAGACAGTCTGTGATTTGAATCTTAGCAGTCAGTGCTTTTATTGATGTCAGAAAGGAACGCTAGGATGAATAGTGCTTTTATTTTTGAGAATGATGTTTACAAATTTTTTGTATATGATTGTTTTAGGGACTTGGTTGACCCATATAAATGATTATAAATTAATACAACAGACTTTTCCTACCTATAAACACCATTATTTTAGAGCTACATCATGAATATTAAAATTCACTTACTGAATTGTTTTTATATTTTTATTATGAGCAAGCAAACAGAAACTACATTAATTGGAATAACTTTGTAAAATAAAACATAGGAATTTGTTCCTATTACTAATGACAGTAGAAAAGTATTTTGAAATCTGTGTCCTCTGGAAAGTGTTATCTGTTATATTTTCGAATGTGGTAGATATCCAGGCTTCAAAATTACAAATTTGAGGTTTTTTTATTTCCTTCCCTTTAGGCTTGACACCCAGCATTCTCACCTCACCTTGCCGTACTATAAGATGTCTGGTTTGTCTTTGGCCGAAGTTTTGGCCCGCGTGGACTGGACAGGAGAGGGTGCATCACAGAAATATGAGAGGGGATTAATCTTTTATATTAATCATTCACTTTGTGAAAACCTGGATGAGGAATTAAGTGAAGTGAATATGGTTTTTTATTTATTATATTTAATATTTTTAAGTTTTAATTTTAGTAATTTTATTTAATACCATTTAGAAGTTAAGTTCCAAATATTTTTATTCTTTGATATTCTTCTTTTTTCTTTTTCTAAAAAAGTAATGTGCTTTTTTCTTCATTAACGATCATAGAATTATATCTTGGAAAAGAACTGTGGGTCATCGTCTCATGCTTTCTCATTATGTAGACAGGGAGATGTGATCTTTCGCGGTTGAATGACCTGCTCAGTGACAGCAGCACGTCTTTAGAAGAGTGACTCAGAGTGTGGGCCTTGCCTGCCTTCTTCCCATCCGCAATCCTTCCCACAGCCTTAGTTCTCCGTTTCTCCAAGTGTCCAAAACTTCACTTAGAGAACCTTCACCTAGTGACTTTAGGACATTATTATCGATCTATCTATATATTTTTTGAGGCAGGGTCTTGCCATGTCACCCGGGCTAGAGTGCAGTGGCCTCAACACAGTTCACTGCAACCTAAGCAACCTAATACTCCTGGCCTCAAGCAGACCTCCCGCCTTGGCCTGAGCCACTGCGCCCAGACTTAAGATATTATTAATGATGATTTTTAGTCCCTCATGTATTTTAAACATAGTTGAGTAGAGATATTCCAAGTTGGAAATTATGGTACCCCCAAATGTTTTAAGATTTTGAGAGAAATGAAATTTTTTCATGTAAATTACTTCATTAGGTATATTTTGAACTAAATTGTAGTTTTTACGATGGACTTTTAAGTGTAACTTAATCAGATATTCATTTTCTTCTTCCTAACGCCTATTAAAATCAGAAATGCTCGTCACAACCTGGTACATATTTTCACTGCTTTTTCTTCATTGTAACTCAGCAAGGAGATCATTTGGGGTTATCTCGGGTCTTCCATATATCAGCATCAACTCTTTTTAAATCAAAACGTAATGCTATAATTTTATCTTAATTGCAGTGTTTGTGTCTTGGCTTTGTGTGTGTGTGTGTGTGTGTGTGTGTGTGTGTGTATGATTTTCTTTTTTGGTGATTTTGTTGCTTTCTTTTTGTTCACTGACCTTTTATTCCTTGTTTCATGCTCAACAAAGGAATCAGCAGCAAAAGTGGTTCAGATGTTTCACGTGGCTGAGCCGAAGCAACTGCCCCATATTCTTTGTAGTCCTTCTCTGAAGAATATTAATCCTTCAACTGCCTTGAGCTATCTGAGGAAGCTGGATGCTTCTGGGTTGTCATCGATCTTACTGACATTGACTAAGGCAGCAATGGCTCTGAAAATGGGAGATCTTGACATGCACAGAAAGGAAATGAAAAGCCATCCAGAGGTATGATGCCTTACCTCGTATTCGCAGCAGGCTGATACAGGACCTCATGGTCTGAGATGTTTAGCTTTCTTCTGTCTTCTTTCTAGCTCATGTTTTCTTAGTTGTAATGGAAAACAGACTTAGTATTAGAAGGCAGTTGGTTCAAGTGGGATTTTGGATTTGGCCAATGAAAAAGAAATAAGACTAATGAGTGGCAGCAGTGGTATTCAAAGACCTTTCAACTTAGTGTCAGGTATGTTCAGAGAACTGAGTTTGGTGCTGAAGAGCAAGCTCTGCCCTGAGTAGACAGTCTGATCTAGGATGAAGGATCTGGCCTGTGCACCGAAAAAGAACAGCGTGATGCGTATTTAAGTAGAGCAAGGGGAATATAAACCGTGAGCCTTAGGAGTCTGGTAGTTGCAGAAAGCCTCCACTTGGGAAAAATCACAGATGACTTTATAGAGGATTGGACATTTGAATGGTCTATCAAAGAAAGAGAGGTCTTTCCCTTGGAAGAGGTTATTTAGGAACATGAGCCAAAGATGTTAATCATTTAGGGGAAGAAAATAAGAGGTTGATGTGAATCGAGCACTTATTATGTCCCAGGCCTATTCTAATCCCCTTGCATATGTTATCTCATTGAATTCCTACAACAATACTATGTGGTAAGTGGTATTATAGTTTTCATACACGTGAGGGAACTAAGACACAGAGAGGTCAAGCTCACACAGCTGGTGAGTGGTGGAACTAGAATTGAACCAGGCAGCCTGACTTCGGAACCTGACTTCAGAACGGTTGTTTTTGTTATTGAACTGTGGTCACATGGCCATGGTGTGACTTTTAGTTTCTTAAAACTAGAAGAGCAGAAGTTCTTTATCACTGTACAAATGACATGTTATGATGAGAGCAAGGCAATATCGAGGTATCTTCTGTTTTGAAGGGTAGAATTTCAGAAAAATGAATTTTCTTTCCATAATTTTGAAATGACTTAAGATCTATTGCAGTTGTCCCTTGGTATCTGTGGGGGATTGGTTCCAGGATCTCCTGCAGATACCAAAATCCATGGAAGCTCAAATCCCTGATATAAAATGGCATAGTATTTGCATATAACCTACACATATCCTCCCATGTACTCTAAATTATCTGCAGATTACTTATAATACCCCGTACAATATAAATGCTGTGTAAATAGTTGTTATACTCTATTGCTTATGGAATAATGATAAGAAAAAAGTCTGTACATGTTCAGTACAGAAGCAATTTTTTTCTGAATATTTTTGATCTGTGGTTGGCTGAATTCATGGAGGTAGAAGCCACAGATACGGAAGGCTGACTATTTTCAAATCAAGTAGATCTAAATATAAAGCTCTCTACAAAAACAGGACACCTTGATGCTTAGTTAAATATTAGTAACTTCTGTAAGACAGTGATGTCCTTAGCAAGAACTAGTCTTTATAGTTAAAGAAAAAATTGTGATTCAAGTAAATTATTAATAGCTTAACCATGGATCTTGAATATACTAGCATGTACAGTATTTCCAAGATGAACACCCTGAATAAAATATATATTTTGTTCCTAAATTTCTTTTTTATCTGAAGATGAAGTTGGTATGTGGCTTCATTCTGGAACCTCGACTGTTGATTCAACAGAGGAAGGGACAGATTGTTCCAACTGAGCTTGCAATTCACTTGAAGGAGACTCAGCCTGCATTACTTGTGGCTTCAGTCCTGGGTTTGCAGAAGAACGACAAAATTGGAATTGAAGAAGCAGATTCCTTTTTTAAGGTTTGTCACCTTGAAAATGTCATTTTTCTAGATGGTCTGATAAAATCAGTAGAGAGTAGGGAGCAGAATAAGACAAGTAAGTTTTCCATTTGTTTATTGAAAAAACAGACATACATAACTTATAAAAGTACATATTAAAAGAATATATCAGGAGAGTCTATTCATGCAACCTGGAATCTGTTTCCTGTTACATGTGTCTAAATTTGCCAGGAATGCTACTGGTAAATTATTAATTGCATGGTCCACATGATTGCGTGATATTTAGGCCCAGCTATATCCTGATCAATGCTATATTTATCTGGGATATAGGGGCTTGTTTTATTGTTTTCAAGGTGCTTTGTGGTAAGGATGAAGATACGATTCCTCAGCTCTTGGTAGACTTTTGGGAAGCTCAGCTGGTGGCATGTCTCCCAGATGTGGTACTTCAGGAACTCTTTTTTAAGCTCACATCACAGTATATCTGGAGGTTATCTAAGAGGCAGCCTCCTGACACCACACCGTTGCGAACATCAGAAGAGCTGGTAAGAAAATGGAATAATTCCTTAAACTCAACTCCTACTTTGTACTTTACAATAATGTACCTTCTTATTTTTAATGACATAAAATTGACCTAGTTTTCTATTACCAGATATCCTATTTAAGCAGGAGTTAAAAATACACTTAAAATTTGTCTGTGAGTAAAGTTGCCCACATTTGAAATAATTTTATATTCTGAAGAATGTCCCTACTTATTATTCCCTCCCTCACTTGCCATGGTACCTCAGTAGCCAAAGCATGGGGGAGGGGCTTTCCCCAGAACATCCTCATGTCTGTCCTTCCTCAGCCAAGGATTGTTAATTAGAACATGAGGGAAGATACATCTGCAGACCATCCTGGTGGGAGAGGAACTGCAGAAACCTTGTGGGAGGGAGACTTCCCTACTCGGCCCCTGTTTCCTGTCAGCTGTACATGCAGAGCTGTTCTGTAGCACTTGAAGGAGCCATAACAACTCTCCCTACTCTTTTAGCTCCCTTCTTTCCTACCTCTTTGCCCCTCCTGTATGCCATGGCTAATGTGGGTTAACTAGAAAAGTCACCAGCTTCTTGAATAAGGGGGGCTTCTTCAGAATTATCTTGAGAACTTATGAAAGATATTTTGCCTCCCAACGAAAGTAGTTATAAATAAAAATTATTTCCAATATTATTATTATTAACTCTTTTTAACTATAATTAGCTTAAAAATAGTATTACTCTTTTTGCTAGAAAGTGCCTCTTTGGAATATTTAAATTTTAAAACATAAGGAAATATTAGTGCAAGTTATATACTACAGAAAGAGCAAGACTGGAACATTTTCTAGGGCAATACATCCTACAAAACTTCCCTTCCTGTTCCCAGAAAACTGTATACCTAATTCTGTGACATAGCTGGAGATTAATGATTACCTGGTCTTTGTGGAATAGGTAAAGTTTTTTCTGTTGTTGTCATATTTTCTTTATAACAAATTTTTTTATGTTTTAGATAAATGCCTGTGGTCATTATGGCTTAATCTATCCATGGGTTCACATCTTAATATCATCTGATGTCTTAGCTTATGAAAATTACACAGAAGATCTTTTAAAATTGCAGGTAAATAAAAATGCCTCTTTTTGTTATGAATATGCATATTACAATACAGTGTAAGATTTAAATTTGGTAAGACCTCAGGTGTCCTGTTAATCTAGAGTGTATAATTTATGGGGACGAAATCCATAGTTAGGCAGACTCAGGAGCTTTGGAGGGAATTCCTGCCCCTGCCTGAAACTGCTGGGGTGTGAGACATCTGTGCCAGGAAGCTGGTTTCATGCAGATAGACGGGCGAGCTTCAACGGATCTCCTGACTGCCTTCCTCATTTTCAGAATGTGCTTGAAAACACTTTGTGAAGTGAATGTGTAGCAAATGTTTAGTGGTATTTTTATTGATGTAATTCATTTTTTTAGTGTTGGTGTACACTCATAACCCAAGCCAACCACTACTATCTGTCTTATAAGAAACTGGTCAAAATGGTGTATCCAACTCCTAGAAAGGATTTTTAAAACACAAGAGGGGCATGATCAGAGAATGTAGGTCATCCTGTAAGAATTCTGACTATGAAAGTGTTTTGACTGACAATGAGAAATACAGTCCGCATTTGACTTGGTGTGGATCAAGCTGGGCTAGATGTGTATGTGGTTTTATTTAATGTATAGTTCAGTGGTCCAAGGACTGAATATAATCCCCACATCTGTTTTGTTTGGTCTTTCCAGTGTAGCTGCCAACATTAAAAAATTAAGATATATTAAGAATTCTAAGTCTGAAGTTACTCTTGAAAAATTCAGAAGAACTGGGAACCCCTGAGACCTGAGGGTTGGGGCTGACCCGTGGCTCCCCACCATGGGCAGAGCTCACGCTGGCATCTCAGCACAGTTACCATCTTCACGACGTCCTGATCCAGATGCCAAGTGTCTTGTGTCCATTTTCCTTATCCCAGCTGCCTTCATGCATCTTCATCATGTGTTTGACCCATTTAGACTTTTGGGTTTGCAATCCCTGATTTACACTTTGGGAACTGGTATAATTTATTGCTGGTATCTATTTATTGCTTAAAAAACTAAAATGTCAAATTGGGAATGGGGGTTAGGGAGGGAAGCTCAAGAGGACATATTGCTTAGACTCAGAATCCAGACAGGACGGTGTTGTCCCCAGAGATGGAGTTATTTATGTGCTTCTTAAAAAATCACCAAAGAAAGTTCTTGTTGCCTCTGGTCTCCAGTCCCCTTGTGATACAGAGGCTTCTGAGGGAGGGTCTGGCCTCAGGTTTGTTCATTTTGGGAATATTGCTTGAGCATGTGCTGCAGGGGTGGTGGACAGCATCAGACAAGACAGGCAGGGCCTTGCCCTCCCAGAACACACACTAAGTACATATTTAAAATTGTCATTGTAACAAGTCCTATTAAATTTCCCCTGGTAAAGCTTCAAAGCATGTTTATAGTCACTGCTTGAAAAAGTAAAATTCATTGATCTTTAAAAATTTATTTTAAAGTATTTAAAAAGGGTATATTCTTTGCTATTAAAGGAGAGAAACATAGTGTCCCTAAATTTTCCTAAGTCTTTTTCTTAATTATAACTCTTTCTAAATTGTCTATAGGTCAATTAATCTAAGTCATTAAGAAAAAAATAACCATTGAGAAACAAAAAGATCTTACTGGTTCTCACCTAGAGGAGTGGGGAGGTTCAGAATCACCTAGAGAGCTTTTTGAAAATGGTATGACTCTCCCTATACCCACCCCCAACATAGAGAGATGATTCTTTCTCTGTTGCCCTCAATGACTGTAATAGTATATTTGTGCGATAACTAAAATGAAAACAATCTATAAATCATCAACATGTCCAAAAGCTACTATTTGGAATGACACAATAACTAGTAAATGTCCTGCCCTTTGCCAAAATTGTCATCATTCCCCTTCCCTCACCTTGCCAATGCCTTTCCTTAGAGCCACAGTCGTGATTGTCTAGGGGAAGAAGATAGAGAAGTCAGAGGATTCCAGTCCTGTGGTGTCAGGGCTGAGGGTGTTGGATTCTTGATCAAAGGGAACAAACAGTACATGTGTTGAGGATAGAAAGGAGTCAATTTCCAGTATTGGGGGGAAAAAAAAGAGAATATAGTTCTCTGTTAAGAAGCAGACAACATTAACAGTGTTTTAAAGGGTAAGAATAACTTTTTGGACCATTTTTTTAATCCAGTAACATATGTGGTGTTTAGTGTTTCTTGACTATTTTACTTATTTTTAAACTTCTTGATAATATGGATAAAACCAAGTAAAAGTTTTTGGGTAATCCATTTTGTACCAAGTTTTGACTAGTTTCATTTTTTTTTTTTTTTTTTTTGAGACAGAGTCTCACTGTGTTGCCTGGGCTAGAGTGCCCGTGGCGTCATCTTAGCTCACAGCAACCTCAGACTCCTGGGCTCAAGTGATCCTCCTGCCTCAGCCTCCCGAGTAGCTGGGACTACAGGCATGCGCCACCATGCCCAGCTAGTTTTTTCTATATATTTTTAGTTGTCCGATTAATTTCTTTCTATTTTTAGTAGAGACGGGGTCTCGCTCTTCTTGCTCAGGCTAGTCTCGAACTCCTGAGCTCAAACAATCCGCCCGCCTCGGCCTCCCAAAGAGCTAGGATTACAGGCGTGAGCCACCGCGCCCAGCCTTGATTAGTTTCATTTTAACCATGCTTTGGCACCTGTGCCTTACTCATTCCTACCTCACCCATTATCCTGATGAATCAAGAGTTAAAGATAGAAATGATCTCTTTCTTCCATGTTGGGGGATCTTATGAATGGGAGATTATCAGCTTATTTCATCTCTGCCCCCTTATTGTCAGTAAATTATTAAGAATGAGTAATTTGTTAAACTCGAAGGAGGAAAAGGGACCCACCTTATTCCCGTAGCCATTCCTTGGTAGATATTTGGAACAAAATAATCATGCTGACTGTGAATGGATACATCACATTCCATATCTTCCTGTGCGTCTGAGAAGATGCTGTAGCAAAAAGGACAGAGGGACAAGGAAATCAGGACATGACTATCTCATCTTTATCCTGGAGAGAGGGAAAGCAGAGATTATTTTGGTGGTAGAATCAAGAGTAGCATATATAGTTTAAAGGCTTAAAAAGTAAAATACGGGTAAAGTTCTAAATACTGAAATAATACCTGCTCCCTGTCGTTCAACTCGTGGCAAGTGTTATTGACACGAATGATTAGGTTCTAAACAATCACTTCAGTTTTCTTAAACATTAAATTTTATTTTGAGTTATATATGTAGTACATGCCCACGATAGAAAATTTAGAAAATGCAGGGAGATATGAAAAGAAAACAAAAAATGGGCTTTTTCCTCTCATCCAAAACTGCTATAGTCTTCCAAAGGTATTTCTGAATGTGCATGTAGATTTTACAAAATTAATCATGCTCTGAATGTAATGCATTGAGATTTTTACTCATCATTTTATCATAAGCATATTCTCATTAACTAGCCTTTGGAAACATAGTTTTGATGGCTGTGTAGTGTTCCATCATACGAGTGTACCATAATTTATTTACTCGTCTCTTATCATTGAACATTTAGATTACTTCTAATTTTTCCATATTATCAATACTCTTGCAGTGAATAACATTGGACATAAATCTTTGTCCACGGTGTTGATTATTTCCTTAGGATAGAATCCTAAAGAATTCTCATTAGTTTCAATTTGCAGTCCATCTAAAGCAAAATCATGTTATTTTTAAAATGATTACTTTCTATTAAACAGATCATTCTTTAAAGTAGAGTGGTTTCAAGATGAATACTTCATTGCACTTAGATTTATTAAATAAAGACCGTATACATATGCTATAAATTGTAGTCTTTCTTTTTTTGGCAAGTGAGGTTTAGTCTTTTTTTAAAAGTTGAATTCTATATGTTGTGTTTTAGTTTTTTAAGGGTGCCTCATTCCATAACATTTCACTTTTCTGTTCATAGTCTCTTATGTGTGGTCCTTCATTTGACATAGCTTCCATTATTCCGTTCTTGGAGCCACTCTCAGAAGACACTGTTGCTGGCCTCAGTGTGCATGTTCTGTGTCGTACACGCTTGAAAGAGTACGAACAGTGCATAGACATACTGTTAGAGAGATGCCCGGAGGCCGTCATTCCATATGCTAATCAGGAACTGAAAGAAGAGAACCGGGTATGCTTTTCAGACTATGTCTTTAGGTTTGATCAGTGATAGTCATATTTGATAATCTTGTTGCTTTTCCTGCAAAATGGGGACAACATTTGCTAGTCCAGCGTCATAGGGCTGTGTGGGTCCAATGAGCATGTATGTTTAATCTGTGTTTTGAGTACTGTTAAATGCTGTTAAAATATATAGTGATGGTATGTTACTAAAAAACTCTTGTTTGGAAATGAAGTAGGTGATTACCTGAAGATTGGAGAAACATAATATATTATGGGAAAATATTTTCTGTGGTATTTGTTCTTCTGTTTAGAAATTAGACGAGTTTTAGACTTTAGTACTTTTTTTTTCTTCCTCCTTTCCTTTCTTACTCCTTGCTCCCTAAGAGATAACAGGACATGCCTGTTTCTTCTTGAAAATAACCGAGGACATATGTACAGCATATGTATTACTGGATTTTCAAATCACAAACCTGACTTTTATGTTAGAGTTTCAATAGAAGACTGGCTGCTGATACAACTTCTGTTACAGCAAAGTTTGGTACCTTAACTAAAATAATGTATTTTTTCCCTGTGCTTTCCTGCACAGTCTTCTTCTTCGCATTGAAGCCCTGAGTATAAAATGCAGCAAAGTGAAATTTGTGCATTTTTTCCTAAGATAGACTCTGTGGTGGAAAAAACTGCTGCCTGAACTTTGTCGGAGAATAAAATGTGGCGGAGAGAAATATCAACTTTACCTGTCATCATTAAAAGGTAAAATGATCTTTTTTGCTTGATTATGAACTTAGAGTCTCTGTTTTAAATTTGCCAAAGCCTTGCTTTATCTAGTTTTTTCATGTGATCACCAAGTGAGATGAAGAGGGCCTTGCAGAATCGTCTGGAGAGCTTATTTTCAGCATTCACTTACCATCCCCCATCACACTTGATATTCATTTATCTCTTCTAGTCACAGAGCTGAGGTTCTTTTAAGTTAATCTTTTCAAACACTAACGAATTATCAAAGTCATAGAAACTGACAACTTCAGTATTTTAAAAATTTGAGTAGTGATTAAGGCAATTACATCTTTTATTATTGATCTAAGTGCTTAATTTACTTCATGTATGAAGTTAAGATTATTATTATTAAACATAATTACAAGCAAGTATTTACATGTTCTCAAGGATTTAAAAGTAGAGTCTCTAAAGTGTACAATATTTTACAGTGTAGGTAATTATTGTTTGAATTCTCATAACTCATAAATACTCATTTATAAATCTTTTTTGGGGCGTCGGTTGGGGAGGCAGGGTCTCTCTGTCACTCAGGCTGGAGTGGTGTGGTGGTGTCATCATAGCTCACCACAACCTCAAACTCCTGGGCTCAAGCGATCCTCCTGCCTCAGCCTCCCAAGTAGCTGGAACTATAGGCGCACACCACCACACCCAGCTAATCTTTCTGTTTTTTTGTAGAGATGGGGTCTCACTCTTGCTCAGGCTGGTCTTGAACTCCTGATCTCAAGCAGTCTTCCACTTCAGCCTCCCAAAGTGTTAGGATTACAGGCGTGAGGCACTGTGCCCAGCCCATTAGTTTCTATACTGTTGTGTGTTAACATCACTAGGTATTTGTTGCCCCGATGACAAAAAAGTGTGGTTATGTCAATTGCAATGCACATAAAATATTAGAAATTGACAGTGTTGGAATCATATTTTCCAGTCAAGATAATTGATTTTTAAAATGTTAGACAAAGCCAGTGGCCATTACAGGTTGTTTTTCTGAAGATTCCCATTTAATTAAAGCTGTATATTTGTGACTGGGGAGGGGAGGAGGTGATTTTATACTCTGTTTTACCCATCTCCTGAGTGCTTTTAGTATTTAGAAGGTAGAAATGTCAGGTGTGTGTTTGCTTTGCCCCACTTACATCAAATTGTTTCCATAATTTATCACTATTTATGTTGGTGGATCACTCCAGTGCAAATGTGCTACCTCTTCAGACCTCATCAACGTCCTTATCTTAGTCAAAAGCCTCTTTCTTTATCCTTTTCTGATCCACATCCACACGCTCTCTATCCCTAACTTACCCATAATCATTTCTCCAGATGTTACATTTTTCTGTATCTTCAAAATATATTTGTGTGCACACACGTGTGCATATTTGTGTATGTTCGTGGCTAATGGGACTAAGTGCTGTGTGTGATTTACCTTTATTAGACTGTAATACGTTAAGAGCAAGCATAGTGTTTTATTCATTTTTCATGTTGTACCTTCCTCATGGGAAGCATTCTGTGACTGTTTATTGATTGGAAGGGAAGACACCTGAAGAACTTAAGAACTTCAGGTACATTTCACGGGAGGTCTTTTTCTTGGCAGCTGTAGTACTCTGAGAAGAGCCCAGGATTGGGGTCTGGAGAATTGGAACTGAGTTCCAGGTCTGCCACTTACTGAGTGACCTGGAGCAAGCCGGTTTTTAATATCCTGGGACTAATGAGAAGTTTAGGATTGACTCTAGAGTTCAATGTTATGCAGTATTTCAAGAGAGTAAGATTGGAATTGGAATTCAGCCTTGGCACTATTGACAATTTGGACTGGATAACTATCCAAGTGCGTGGGGGTTTCCCCTGTGCGTTTAAGTATGTTAGACAGCATCCCCGGCCTCTACTTACTAGATGCCACCCTAGTTATGATGGACAAAAATGTCTCCAAATTTTTCCAGATGTTCCCTGGGGAACAAAATTGTCCTGGTTGAGAACCACTGCACTAATGTAGAACTATTGAAAGTGGGGTTAGTGGATGGCTTGTTTTTTTTAGTTTTTGTTTTTGAGATAGTGTTGCTGTGTTGCCTGGGCTAGGGCGCCATGGCGTCAGCCTGGCTCACAGCAACCTCAAACTCCTGGGCTCAAGCGATCCTCCTGCCTCAGCCTCCCAAGTAGCTGGGACTACAGGCATGTGCCACTACACCTGGCTAATTTTTTTTTTTCTATTTTTAGTTGCCTGGCTAATTTCTTTCTATTTTTAACAGAGACAGGGTCTTGCTTTTGCTGAGGCTGGTCTCGAACTCCTGAATTCAATCAATCCTCCTGCCTCGGCCTCCCAGAGTGCTAGGATTACAGGCGTGAGCCACTGCGCCTGGCCCTGGCTTGTTTGTTTAAGGAAATATTTGTTACTTTTTTTGTAATAATGAACTGTGCTTATTTTTAAAAATTCTAGTACTGTAGTAAATTACAAAAGTAAAGTTTAAAAAGTCATTTACAATCCCACGAGCCAGAAACAACTATTTTCAACATTTGACTAATGTCTTCTAGACATGAAGGAGGATTTTAAATGTGCAGGTTTACCTTTAGGTAGGTCATTTCTGTATAACTTATAGATTTGGTTGGCTGGTGAGTACAGTAGAGCAAGGTATTTTAATCTTTTCTTCGCCTCAATTTTCCCAACTCTAAATCAGGCATAATATCCGCTAGTATATCCTTTTTGGAATGGGGCTTGGATTAAATAAATAAAAACTTCAAGGGATTCTAGAAGGAATTAAATGAGTAGTTGTATTATATATGAAAGAACTGTATCAACTTTTAAAGTACCGTATCGATTTAAGGTATCAACCTTGCTCTTAGAGTTACAACCTGTATTAGCCTCTCCTTGGTTAGGAGAAAAGTAGAATTGGGCAGTGGCAGTATTTGTATTGGCTCTGTAACAACTCTACACTAGCCCTTCAACTCAATTTTTTGTATCTAAGATACTACTTAGAGGTTCCACATTTGGGTAAATACACTGGGTTGATAGGAAAACATTAATAATTCATGTTTTTTCACATGGATTTTATAAACTAGTTAGTAGCTGTTTATTTAAGGTCCTATTTTATGTTAGATGTGCATCATTGAATTTTAATTTAATTCTCACAGGAACTCTGGAAGCTAGCAGACGGTACCACTCTATTATAGATGAGGAACCTGGGACTTAGGAGTTTAAATGACTTTCTTAATGTCACTCAGCCAGTAGGCAGAAGAGTCTGGCTCCCTTCTTAAGTCTGTCTGATTTCAGACTGGGCATGGATGGCTCATGCCTGTAATCCCAGCACCCTTGGGAGGCTGAGGTCCGAGGATGTCTCAAGACTTGGAGCTTGAGACCAGCTGGGACAACATAGCAAGGCCCTATCTCTACAAAAAAGTTTAAAGAACTAGCTGAGTGTGGTGGTGCCACCTGTAGTCCTAGCTACTCAGAAATCTGAGATGGGAGGATTGCTTGAGCCCAGGAGTTTGAGGTTGCAATGAGCCGTGATTGTGCCACTGCACTCTATCCTGGACAACAGGGTGAGACCTGGTCTCCAAAAAAATTAAGTCTGTCTGATTCCAGAGCTAGGAATCTTTTCCATAAGCCACTGGTATTCCATTCTTTAACTCTTTAGCAATAAGGGCGTTGTTCCTTTGTGTAAAGGATGATTTAGGTTGCCGAATACTGGACAGTTGACTTTAGATGGATTTTATGTTTCATTTACTCCGTAAATAGAGTAAATGGTGGGCATCAGAGAATCACACAGGGAATGGCACTGAAGCGTGGATAGAGTTATAAGACCAAATGGATGTTTACTGGGAACATTGTTTTTAAGTGTCATCCTTCTCTTCTAGGAGAGGGCAGCATGTATATATTAAGAAGCAATAGAATCATAGTGTTGCATAGTTATCTTTACAAAATGCATGATAAATTTTTTAATATTGAAAATGTTTATTATAGTACCTTTGCAGTTTTGAAAAAAAAGGTAAATGGTCATGAAAATAGATCTGTGCTTATGAATAACATGACAGTTTTATAATAGGGACTGATTGAGGAAAATATTGTCCTTTTCCAACAATTAATGGTATTTCCTGTCCTAGCACACAATTTTTATAAATTAGCTTCAGTATAGTCCTAGCATTACAAACAGTATTCAAATGATTGTATTTTTCTTTAGAAGATAGTAGAAATCCATTGAAAAATAATATAGTAATTCAGCAATAAAATAGTCCAAATTGCATGGGGCCAATATAAAATAAAGTTAAGAGGATTCAAGAAGGGACAAATAAGTTGTTAAAACCATAAAGTAGTCTGTGGAGTTAAGAGACTGATGTTTTCTTCTTTGTAGTTAAAACATTTTGTTTCCTGAATGGCTTCTAATTGGTTGGTTAAGTAAGAGGAGAACTGGATGGAAGACAGACTTTCATTTCTGACTCAGATATTCTTTCCTGCAAACAGAAACATTGTCAATTGTTGCTGTGGAACTGGAACTAAAGGATTTCTTGAATGTTCTCCCAGAAGATGGCACTGCAGCATTTTTCTTGCCTTATCTTCTTTACTGCAGTCGAAAGAAATCATTGACTTGAAGGTATCATTCGAGAAACACCATAATGGCATTTGAGACTGAGTTTCTGAAAGTTGAATGCCAGGTAAAAATACAAGTAAAGGATTTTTTGTTTTTTGTGCATGTATTTTATATATATATAAATTATATAAATAAATGCTTTTAGGCTGCTTACTTCACCATGTAGTGGTAACTATGACCTGAATGCATTTAATTGTTCAGAATGTAAAAAAATCTTTAAGAATTCCTTAAAGAAGCCAAGTATTTTTAAAGGCAGAGACTGACTTTGATTCCACGGAACATCAGTTCACTGTTGTTGGAGACACAACAATCTTTTTCATTCTAGCAACCCTTTAAGGAAACAGTTTCAGAATTTTATTTTCTTGATTTTTCCAGATTTCTCTCTTGGCTCAATTTAAAAATAATAATTGTCTTTGAAAATGATGTTAATGTTTTGCCACAGTAAAAAATTTCAAGCCTTATTTTTTTGTTACTTTTCTTGTTACTTTAAGAAAACCCATGCTCTGTTTTTTCCTTAAATCAAATGAAGTAGAAATTTACAAAGCTAACTTTCTTCTTGTCTGGCTATTAACATGATTTGTTTTGAATCCATGTTATTTTCATCCAAAGCCTTGTTTCCATTTTTTGTTGATCTGTACTCTTGTTTTAGCTAGAGTATATGTGAAAATAAATATATTACTGTATTCACAACCGTGTTTTCTTGTTTAACCTCTTATTAAAAAACGTTTGAGTCCAAGTTCAGCTCATTGTTAGTGTCCTTTGAATTTAGGCAAATTTCTACTCAGAGGTGTCTGCCACAACTGTATTTTGAAGCTTTTCTCCTGATGGCAATGCTTATCCTTACCAGGATTTAATTTGTAGAATTGTTTCTCAACTCTGCCCTTTTCTAGTTTCAGATAACGTCCTTTTGATTATCTCTTCAAGGGTTCACAGAACCCTGGACTGGCATCAGCTTATTTTATTTATTTTTATTCCTTCCTCCAAACCGTGCGCCCCCATGCCCACTGGATCTTAGGAATTGTGTCACCAGCATGATAGAAGCATTGATGGGAAGGCAATGATTAGAAACATTTCAATGAACCTTAATAGTAATCCTTTGAGGATCACCCAGGAGAAGATCTGGTCATAGATCTTTTTTTTTAAACACGGTTTTGTAAAACCCTAATGGAGGTGGTATGAGTGGCCTGTATGAATCAGTTCTGTTACCTAGTGTACAAGTGTCTGTTGAGTTTCATGCATTCTGTTGATCTTCCCATCTGCAGCAAGACAACACAGTTTCCCTCACAAATGCACAAAGTAGTCAGTTTCCAGTCTTTTATTTTTTTAATTATTTAATGTTTATAGTCATTCCATAGTAAACATTCTATTCAACACTTTCACGTACATTGTTATGAATCATTGGTTTTTCTTTTTTTTTTTTTCCACTAATCACCAATTTATTTCTTTCAGCCAGACTTGGTCTCTATAGAAAAAGAAATTTTAAGACCATTATTAAAAATATGTTATATGGTTAACAAATTATTAGATGGTGCTTTAAATGTATTCTAATTTTAAAATGTTACTTTGTTTAATCATTCTTGATTTATTTATATTTTTCCACTTTTCATATGTTTTTTAGAAATCTCTCATTCCTGTACTGCTTTAAAAAAATTTTGTCTTCTTTATAAGATCCTTATTAATTACAAGAAAAATAATAACTTTATAATGGAAAGACCTGGTAGACAACACCTTAACCAAATGCTCAGGGTTAACAGAACCTCATGGAACAAATAGTATCTTGTACCTCCTGACTCAGTGTACTGAAAAGCATCATAACGTCATGCTGTGATAGCCTTGCCCAAAATGCATAACCTGCGTCTAATCATGGGAAACATTAGACAAACCCAAGTTAAGGGACATTCTACAAAGTGACTGCCCTGTATTCTTCAAAAATGTTAAAGTTATGAAAGATAAAGACTAAGGAACTATTTCAGAGTAAAGGAGACTTAAAAGACATGCCAGCAATGCAGTGCATGATTCAGGCTTTTCTTTTCCTGTAAAGAACGTGATCAGGATAACTGATGAAATTTGAAAAAGATGCGTAGTTTTTAATCGTTTCTGATTTTGGTAATTGTATTATGGTCATGTACAAGAATATTCTTGTTTTTAGGAAATATGGGTATGTGTATTTACACGTGTCTGTGTGTGTGTATGTGGGAGAGGGAGGGAGGGGAGATAGGAGAGAGAATGAGAAAGCTGATGAGGCTGTGCAAAATGTTAGCATTGGGGAATCTAGATGAAGAGTATATGGGAATCTGACATCATTTCCAAAAAAAGTTTTAAAAATTCCTCTTCACTGAATTGATATGTTATTACATATTCACCAAACAGAGTATTAGATTCAATTTGGGTACTTAGCCAGAAATACAGAATATACAGTCTCTGGCTATAAGGAACTTAAAACCAAGCAAGATTTTTCTCTATAAACTGTATGAAAAAGCTTATCTGACTGTCACAGAAATGTCAAAGTCTGAAACTAGTATTATACCTTTTACATAGGAGGTTTTTGTATGCCTCTTCTGGTAGAGGAAAGGAAGCATTATACTAAAAGTATGACATTATCCGCCACTCTGTTGTAATGATTTTTTTTTCTTTGTCGAGGCAGTTGTCTCTTGGTACATAATATTGAAAAATTCCATTCTAACCTCATGTGCTCTGTTTTCTGTGTCATGGTAGGCAGAAATTTTTCTAAGACTTATAATGTAAACTTGCCCAAAGCTTTGTCAAACTTTTAATTAAAGATAACTCAAACTGATAAACATGGCTCCCCATTTTTCTGTGTATAGTTCAAACTATCTTTTTTATTCATTACTGCCTCTTTCAGTCCCATAGATTACCTTTTCTCTTTATAAAAGTCAAATTTCTCTTGAATCTTTTTTCCAGTGTGTTTTCCCTTCACATTTGCTATTTGTTCTACAATTTTCCCTATGGCTTTACAAACAATATCCCCTTCTCAACCAAGCAGTTAGCCCCCTCTTCTGCTTCCAGGATGGTTATGCAGGAGGAATCCTCTCTGTGTCTGTGTGTGCAGCATTAGCCTGTAGGCGTCCTCTGCATGCCAGGCGTTTGCACACGTGAATTCCCTGGATGCGTCCGTGTCCCCTCGCTCTCCCTTATTTTTCTGAGCAGGACCATCCTTTTGTGTGGTTTACAACAAGCTAGTGTTCTTTAAAGACTAGAGTTTTCCTTCTCATCACGTTTGGCTCTTTCACCTTGTCCAAGTTACTAGCTGTTGTCAGTAACCACTCCATAATAAAAAGGGCTTTCATGGAAGTAGTTTTTCCTGATGCAAGATGTTTGTGTAAAACCCAGGAGCAGAAATTAAAGCTTTTCATTTGCACTAAGGATAGATCTTTCAGTGATTTTTAATCTCAAATATATTTACTTTTATATTTTCTTCCATTCATATGTTCCCTTTTATCCCAATTTTGAGGAAGAAACAGAGAGGGTGTTCTCTTTACATAATTTACCCCTGTCGGACTTGCCATTTCCAATTCCAACATTCTCAACTCAACAGACCCAGGAAAAACCAAAGCCTGTAACCACAATGCAGGAATTTCTCTCTTTCTATGTTTCGTTGGTGTGTAGCCACAAAAGGGGTGTTTGTTTTTCTGCATTTTGGTGGGGGTGTGTGTGCACCCACGCTTATATGTGGTAAGGGGAGCTGTTGCGGGAGTTGGGGAGCAGGGCATTTGAATTTTCTTTCTTTCCTGGATCTTTCATTGTCTCCCCTTCCCCTGGAAGCACAGAAAGACACTGCTATGGCTGATTGTTTGAAATTATATTGATTATTTGGGGTTGTCTTGGGCTTCTCTTATATACAGGTACTACTTGGAAAAAAAAGTTAATGCTTTCTGTTAGGAAAGAAATTAAATTCTAAATGTGTTTTCTTGTAAGTCATGGATTGTTTCTTGGTAAATAGCTAACTATGCTCTCTATCAGCTTTACGTATAATTATGCTGTATCAAATTCAAATCAGTTTGTATTGGCCTAGAAACTGCAGTTATAAATACTGGCTGTCAGGCAATGGGCAGAATCCCACACCGTTTAGTAGTAAAAGTCCTGTTAAGAGGTAGAGAAGGAAGAAATCAGGGCAGCAGATTCACAAATGCTTCATATTGAGGGAAGTATTTAGGCAAAGTAGTACATCTTAATTATGTTTGTTGTATATGGCTTCTAGAATTACTAACTGGATATTCACCTTCATTTGGTAGAACGGTGTAAGTAGTTTCCATTCCAGCATGAATGTGGTCGGTCACATGGCAGTGAAGTAACCAGATTCCAGGTGTTCTTGGAAACATTTCTAGGGTTTGGTATGTCCCAGGGAAAATGTCAAAGACATCAGAACTATAAATGCCCCTGTGCTTAATTAGAAAAATGACAAATATTATATAACATATGGGAGTATTCATTCAAATAGTTTTTCATTGGTGGGTTCAGGAATATTAGGAAAATTGATAAATCAGTTTTTAAAAAATAGGCCCCTGACTGTTTCTGTGTTCAATGCAAACAGTAAGATATGTGGTCCTTGTATTCCTAAAGAGCTCTGCACTTTGGGCCATCAAGTGGGTGTAAAGGAAAGATGTGATGAGTGAACTCATCAGTCAGGATCACCTGTGGCCTCCTACACCACAACTCTAGTTTGCCTGCTTGTCAGAGCACAGAGTTGCACAAAGGAACTTAGCTGTGGCCCCATTTCAGCCCTAACCTCACTTTTGCCTGTACCTGTCCTAGACTAGATTGTCTTTGAAACTTTAGGGCAAGGAGAGTAATAGAGGGAGCAAAAAAGAAGCCAATGGAGAAGCCAAAAACCAGGGACAGTTCAGGCAGAGTCTCGACTGGAAACAGTAGTTGAGCATATTTCTGCAGGGATAGAATTGAAACTCCACTAAGAATATATCTATGTAAAACAAAAGCAGATAATAAAACAGACTTTCTGCATTGTGATTTTCGTAACTTCTGCATTTTATGCACTAACACAAAGATAAGAAAAAAGCGTTTCCAGAAGGGCCATTGGCTTCTGCTGAAATTGGTGCCAGGTAAGGAATAGAAGCATGATTGAGAT